CGATCCAAAAGCGCTCGTTAACGTGCAGAGTGATTGGTTATAATTGGCTAAAATACTCAGTGTATGTATGTGTGTGTGTTGAACTTCTTTCGTACCGTACGTAGCCAATCGTGCTCATGGGGAATGTCCGGGGGGGGGGAAAGGACAACAAACTAAACGCAAAAATAAGTTCTATAGAAATTAGTTTTTAACGTCCTCCTAGAGACCGCTCTCCTCCTAAACGACTGCAAGCAATTTCGATAGAGGGGGAGTCATTTGAAAGTTTACGATGTTATAGTTCACGTGAGCAAGGTCGACATTACTACAACAACAAAACACAGATGACCTTTGACCAGAAGAATTGGCTTAGCAGCAGCAGTACACTGCTTATCCGCTATACTGTTTACAACAGCCTAGCACATGTCGGGCACTCAGTTAAAATAGAAATCACACAACGTATAGGTGTGTGTGTGTGTGTTCCATTTGAGAGGGGTGTGTGGGGTGTGTGGGGGCGGTGGTGTAGCGGTTAGCGAGGTCGCGCTATGAACCTGGCAACCCGAGTTTGATTCCCGCTCACGGCCAACACCAGTGACGATTATCTGAACCGGTCCTGGGCCTGCCCTAGGTCGACTCGGCCTCATACGAGTACCTGGTGCGGTGTGTAAGCGTCGCCATTGGGGAGACAAAGGCGGCCGTGCGCGATGTTGGCTACCCACCCTTTCGTGCGCCGTGTCGGCCTTCATAGGTGTTCGCTAACAGCACTTGCCCCTACAGTCTGTTCAGGCTATATGGGGGTCTTTGTCTTTGGAGGAGCACTCACTGTGGGGGGGAGAAGGGTGGTGGAGGGTGGTGGGGGATGTGAGAAGATGCCCAAGTGGCACTAAACCTCAACGGGTTTCCTCCGTCTGGTTCATATATGGCCAAGTCTGTGGTGACAGAATTCCAGCATGGGACGCTGATCGCGAGCATCACAACATCGCAAAAAAAATACCACAAGCAACACTTGGGCTTTTACCACACATATACGTCCACGCAAGGCAGGCGAGTGCGATGTATGACAAAATTGCCCAATTCATCGCTGTGTGAAACACGCACGCATTGCCCTGTTAAACCGAACTAAACTATTTTTAGTTTACTAGGTAAGGCCAACAGAACTACGTAGCTCTTTTTCAGAAGCGGCCTGGCCACAAATGATAGCTCAAAAACGTGGCTTATCACGTGCATATTTAAAGCAGCCAAATACTCTAAACGTGGAGGGGAAAACCGGAGGACCTGGAGAAAAATCCACACGACCACGCAGAGAACATGCAAACTTCAAATATACAGCAGGCGTCAGAGTCGGGATCGAACCCACGACCTCCTGTATACCAGGCGAGGTAGTTAACATCTCGCCACAGTGGCGTTGTTCAATACGGTGGTGCGGATGCAGGATCCCGCCGTGGTGCAGTGGTTGGCCCACTGGACTTGTAACCGCAGAGGTCGCCCGTTCGATTCGATTTCCCAGAATGGCAGCTGAGATAACGATGACCATTTTTATTAAATTATTCCCCCCCAAACACCCCACTGATCACCTCTGTCCGTGTGGGCACCACCGATGGGTGGACCTCACAGTTAATCGGAAGGTCACGTGCGGTGGGGTAAAGCGTGGATACTTCCAAACACGACTAAACATGTTGAGCCAGGAGAGTAGGAGATGACAAATGTGCTCTAGAGGAGCTCTCTAGAACTCCCTCGAGGAGGCCCTTCTGTGAAATAGCCCTCCTACACCATAAACACATACGGAGGATCCTCAGTACTGCATAGCCTTTTCAGGCTGTTTGAACAAGCTCTGTTAGCGAGCACAAAGACAAATACCCCCCCGTATAGCTTTAACAGACTGTTGGGGCAAGTGCTGTTAGCAAGTAGCACTTACGAAGGCTGGCACGGCACACGAGGGGGTGGGTGGCCAGCACCACGCCTAGCCGCCTTTGTCTCCCCAGTGGCGATGCTTAGACACTGCACCACGTACTCATTTGAGGATGAGTCTAATGTGTGGTCCAACTGTGGCCTAACGTGGCCTGATGTGGGTCACTTTGGCCGAATGTTAAATTGCTGTGTCAGAGTGAGCTAATGTGGATCCAAGTGGCCTAATGTTGGCCACTGTGGATCATTGTGGGTCACCGTGTCAGGTTTTGATCCTAGTCGTAATGACAAATACAAAGATCCCCCATAAAGTCTTAACATACTGTTGGGGCAAGTGCTGTATCGACCAGCAACTATGAAGGCCGGCACGACACACGAGGGGGTGGGTGGGTGGCCAGCACCACGCCCGGCCACCTTTGTCTCCCCAGTGACGATGTTTCCACATCGCACTAGGTACTCTTTTGAGGCCGAGTCGACCTAGGGGAGGCCCAGGACCAGGTCCGCGTGAGCGGGAATCGAACCCGGGTCGCCACAATCGCAGCGCTCACCGCGACACAACCGCGAGCACATAGACACGCACACACAGACCGAATAAAGTACAGTACCCCAGTCATAACCCTGTTGGAAGAAACTGAAAACCTCGCTTGAGCAACTCTGGCGGCGGCGGTGGTTAAAGCCAAAGAGCTATCAGCATTGCCTTGGCGACAAACGAGGGCGCACACACGCGCACGCGACACTCAGGCGAACTTTACTCCCGGCACTCGCTGAGGCTCGCCACTCGCAGCCACAATCAACACCGGTGCGTGCGTGCGGCTCAAACAATTCGGTGGGATTTTCGGTAAAGTCACGTAGGTAAAAAATTAAAATTAATAAAAGTAAAATATATATTTTTTTACTTTTATTAATGCGAGGATTCATATTATTAGGTTTTTTTCGGTAAAGTCATGTAGATAAACAATTTAAATTAATAAAAGTAAAACATTTTTTGTTTACTTTATTAATTTAAATGTTTTACCTACGTGACTTTACCGGAAAAAACCTAAGAATATGAATCCTTGCAGTCACGAAAGCTTCAAATCTAGAATTCGGTGGGAGCCAAGAGGACCCCCCCCCCCCCAACCCCCAGAGCGTTCTATTTATGGGCGCGGAGCAGAGATGGAGCTGGTTAGGGGGGGGGGGGAGCGATGGAACGGGGGGGGGGGAGCGGCTGGTGGCCACGGGGATTAGGGGTACTCTGTGCTTCGACAGGTGGCTCAAGCACGATGGCAGCCGGCTCCTCCAAAATTACGGCACCACCCCCCGCCGCCGCCGCCGCCGCCGCCGGCCCAGATACGCGGAGGTATTTTAACGGACGGCACAGCTGCGGAATTAGTTCATTGAAATTCGGGCCGTTCCGGGAATGCGCATGGATTGACCCGGCTCTGCTGAAAAACATCTCATCACGAGCACCGAACTCTCCTCCCCCACTACCACCACACCACCGCCGTATTGATTTGTGCAAATTCAGCACAGGCAGTGTTGAAAAGTGGGCCGCATGCCCTTCCCCTAGAGCGGGCGGCTCTCTAGGTCGCCGGTTGTGGAAGAGTAGGCCAAATACCATCGGGAAGGGGGGGGGGTTCTGTAGATTACCCCCATGTGTGTAATGGTATGGAGATTTTTGGGAGGGAGACGTGCAGAACTTTCTCGATTATTATTCCCGATTTGGTTAGTGGGGTTTCTATGATCGGATCACCCTGCATACACAATGCACCATATTACATGTGAATAATTATACATGTGAAGAAGGACCATTGGCAAAAAATATCGCCTGCTAGATTTCCTTTAAGGGCGCCGTGTTAAAGACGCATATCTGTCAACCCCTTATCAGTGCCCTACCTTAAAACAGACCAATTCAGACCTTATTGGTCACCCCGTGCCCCGATGAATCTCAACGTTCATCCTGAAAAGTCCCATCACAAGGGAGAAACACAGACAAATAGGCCAAAACATGTTTGCCCGTATATGAAACGGCTGTATGCCGTATGGACCTGAAAACTCTATTTGCCTGGACAAGAATACGGGTAAACCGTATGGGTTGACAGCTGTGTTGTCCAATGTGTGGAGGGCTTTTTTTTTTTTTATTCGTGAATTGTGCTTGAGTACTCACTGCTAACACAGCAGCGGCGTCGTCACCAAATGATTTGTTCAAACGTGTAAATAACAGCGTCAATACTGACCATCGTTCATCATCCCTCCTCCTGGCGACGCATTGCGCCCAAGCCCACTCAACTTTTATCGCAACCTCCGATCAGCACGGTTGGCTACGTATGGCGCGAAAGAAGTTCAACGTACATAAGTATGGTGCATTGTCTTTGAGTTGTGCGCCTTTTGGTGTCATCTGGTCCAACCCATGTGAGACTAGGCTCTAAGGAAAGCTGTCTCGGGTGTGGACCAATCAACTTCAAGGACAGTGCATATATCATCAGAGTTATGTTTTTTTTTGCATTATGGCTGCAGGTATTGTGGTCTATGCAAACATGACTCCTTGTAAAAAAAGGTGTCAGTTTTGTTGCCAGAGAGAAGGGTAAAAAAACTATTATCATATTTTTTACTGGCAAATTAGGTTCCAATGGTGTACATAAGTACGTTAATAGTTTGGGTGACGTCACTGATAATTACAATGGGAGTGGGGTGGCCAAAGAATGGAACGCATCCGGAGTGGACGTCCACCGGGGGAGATGGAACGAAAACCACTTCGTGTGGCGCAGGGGTTGCATGTATCGTTACATCGCAGGATTGCGAGAGGTGGTGCCGGCTTGGGGAAGCTCCCATCCAGCAGTGGAACGACCACGGCTTACAATGTCGATGATGATTTTTTTTGTACAAAGACAAGCACACGGTACACGTACACACACACCCAAAAAAAATGTGTGGAAAATACGACGCTTAATTTATCTACGGTAACTTGCCGACGACGATGATGATGATGTCCCCATGACAACAGGCACAACCTTGTAATGTATTCTACTCGTGGGAGCATCTGTGGCTGCTGCTAAGGGTACTCTTGCCTGGCTTGGAGTGGACGGGGAGGAGGAGGGAGGAGGGGGTGGTGGTGATCAAGGTAAGGGGGCAGCACTCACCTGGTAACACGCACAGATGTGTTCCAGCACGGAGGATAGAATCACGAGCCTCTTGCTCCAGCTGTGCCCGCCGCCTGCGACACGTTGCCTCTTGCTCTCTATCTTCCTGGGTTCGCTGGAAATCGGGAGCACAAAGACAAAGATTCCCCCGTGTAGCCTTAACAGATTGTTGGGGCAAGTGCTGTTAGGGAGCGACTACACGCACACGACACGCGGCACATGTAACGCTTGCCGTTGTTATTAAAACGATGAGAAACTAAGTCGTCGGAACAGAAAGGTGTGTGCAGACAGAAAAGAAGAGATACAAATACTACACACACACAATTAAATGTAAAGGTGCAGCTGTGAAATTGCTTGCTCATGCCACTGCTGGCAGAGGGCCTCCTCTGCTAAAGGGGGGGGGGCTCCGAGAGAGCCCAGCTGGATTAAATTTTGTCGATTCTTCCATGCTGGCCAGACGTCTTAAATATATATAAAAGGGAAATGTGTGAATATGTGTGTCTGTTCTAAATGTTTATCATACTTCCCGACATGCAACAAACTTGAAATGTGGCATGTGGGTAGCTTCCAGACTGTACACAATGCAAAAAGTATAAAAATAGACTTGTATTTTTTGGGGGAGGGGGGACGATGCAATAATGGATATATTTTGCATGGCAAGTGACCAGTGACGTCACATCTGTGATGTCACCCGCATGCAGCAGCGTCACGCAGTGCGCCTGCTGACGTCACGCAGTGTGTCTGCTGACGTCACGCAGTGCGCCTGCTGACGTCACGCATCCCCCTCCCCCACCCTCCGCGTAGGCCGTGTGTTAATCAGAGGTCGCAACCGGGTACCCGATACCCGTACCCTACCCGATACCCGTACCCTACCCGATACCCGGCTACCCGTACCCGGCCGGGTACGCGTACCCATTTGCGACCCTGGTGCGGCCGGGTACGGGTAGGCCGTGAGTCACTGGTGAGTAACCGTTTGTCACTCATTTCGGGTAGGGTACGGGTAGGGAACGGGTACCCGTACCCGGCCGGGTACGGGTACGGGTACCCATTTGCGACCCTGGTGCGGCCGGGTACGGGTACGGGTAAGAAATCAAAACCCGTTTGCGACCTCTGGTGTTAATCCAAGACAAGAATCCAAGTCTCGGGCGAAGCCGGGTAGTGAAGCTAGTAAAAAATAAAGTAAAGGGATAGCCTTGGAAGAGGTGGGGGTACCCACACTTTATCCCCCCCCACAGGCAACCTGCCGAGTGATTGTAGTGTCCGCTTCTAATACTGCAGGCCGGGGGAGCCGGAAGATGGGAATTGAACTGGTGCCCTCCGAATTGCAAGTCCGATGTGCCAACCGTTACCCCAAAGCATCAAAACACAACAGCCATTCCAGCATACTTCCTTGCATGTGAAGATGACGTGACCATTTGTCGATATTCTGCACGCAACCTTATTATGATGATCGAATCTGTACATTATGAGAAATCCCCCCGCCCCCATTATAACAGAAAAATAGTGCAGGCTGTATCACCCTAGGTTCCAAGTTTGAAACGTAAAGCCTTCTGAGAGCCATAAAGGCCATTTGCAACCCATAAACCGAAAGGGCCCTTTTAAGCTACCACTCCTACTCATTGTGTTGCCCACCGAGCACGCTGAGAGTTGGGGGCAGGCATGTGCGCACGTGCGTAGGGGAGCGGTGGCACAGTGGTTAGCGCACTGTGCTACGAACCTGGCGACCCGAGTTCAAAAACCCTGCTCCCACGACCATAGCCAGTGGTGAACAATTGAATTGGTCCTGGGTCTCCCCTAGGTCGACTCAGCCCTAACAGAGTAGGTAGTGTAAGCACTGGGGGGGGGGGGGGGACAAAGGCAGTCGGGGCATGGTGCTGGCCATCTTCTCATCAACCATGTTGTTGTGCCATGCCGGCCTTCATTAGTTGCTACTTGCAAACAACATTTGCCACAAACGTCTGTTGCAGGCTATACGGGGGATCTTTGTCTCTTATCCAGGCATGCTCTTTAGGGAGAGGTAATGCCTCGTTTTACAATGGGGGGGAGAGAGGTGGGTTCCCGGGGGGACAGGAAAGCAAATTGTGCAAAAAAAATCCACCGTGTAAAAACAAGGGCTTAAACACGAACGGCTCAAAATCAGCCATGTTCAATTCCACTGCTGGATGAATGCCTCCGCAAGCTGCCACCCCTGCCACCTCTTAAGATCTTGCGATGTATCAATCCACCTAGCACCTGAAATGGAACCGATTTAATTGCTCCATCTCCCCGGCTGACGTGTTTAATGAAAAAGGGATGGTAACGAAAAATGTTATACAAATCAATAAAAAAAGGTATAACGTTAAAACTTTTCAATTAAAATAATAGCGGATGCTGTTTATAAAGACAGCTCTGATATACGTTAACGCATGCTGACGTCACACACTGGTGGCAGCAAGGTGCAGGGCAACTTCTGATATAAGCACACTACGAATATAAGCACAGCTGGCACAAGCACGTTAACTATATATATTCCAATATAGTAATAGGTTTTTACCCTTTCAACTGGTACAAAAACTGACACCTTTATACAAGGCATCATGTTTGCAATAACCACAACTCAAGCAGTCAAAATGGAAACAAAAAGAAACAACTCTGATAATGATATGCACTGTACTTGAAGTTGATTGGTCCACACCCGAGACAGTTTTTCTTAGAGCCTAGTCTCCATTGTGGTGTTGGACCAGATCATTATCATTATCAGATTTGTTTATTTTTGTTTGCATTTTGACTGCTTGTGTTGTGGTTATTGCAAACATGATGCCTTGTATAAAGGTGTCAGTTTTTGTACCAGTTGAAAGGGTAAAAACCTATTACTATATTTTGCCACTGGTAAAGGAGATGTCTCATAGTATATCTATTCCTTCTAGTTTATAAACTGTCAAGTCTGTGGTGCCGAAATTATAGCACAGAACGAGAGAGTCAAAAAAATGTCCCTTAAGCATCCCTCGGGCTTGTATCATGTGTACATTTCCCAACACCGCAGGCTGGCGCAATGCATAAGGGATGGAGAGAACGGGGGACACATCAAGACTCAATGGGCACGAAGTGGACATTGTGTGGATTTGAACGTCGCTACTGTACAACACACACCTGTCTGGCTAACCAAACCTCGTTGAATCGAATGCAGAATTGGCAGAAATCGAACTGGGATACAGTTGAGACTCTGTTACTGGCGCGTCATGCCGTGCAAACAAAATGTCCATTCAGAAATTCCGGCAGGGCGGTGCAACGCCACGTGTGTTAGAGAACGGCCCGTGGAAGTGGATATCACAGAACTGCTACGAAGTGACCGTGTTTTAATCCACACACACACGGGACACTTTCTCACACGCCTCGCTACACAGAGAATGTTCATCACGTGCTGGTGCAAACTGATATTTATAGTTCTAGATTTGAAGCTTTCGTGACTGCAAGGATCCATATTCTTAGGTTTTTGCGGTAAAGTCACGTAGGTAAAATTTTTTATTAATAAAAGTAAAATAAAAATAAAATAAAAATCACGACGTTTCGGAAGCAACTGTGACTGTTCCACCTGAAGACGGAGGCTTGTGTTGCTTCCGAAACGTCGTGATTTTTATTTTATTTTTATTTTACTTTTATTAATTTTTATTTTTTACCTACGTGACTTTACCGAAAAAAACCGAAGAATATGATATTTATAGATTCTTACAGCTGGAATTGAGGAAATTTCAGTGAAACAACCAATTGAAGTGGACACCCAACTTTAATTTAAAGATTGCACAGAATCGAACCCAGGATCTCGGCGCTGCTGGCTCAAATTTCGATTTAAAGCTTTCGTGACTGCAGGGATTAATCTTCTTGGTTCTTTCGGTAAAATCACGTAGAAGGGAAATAATACAATAATAAAAATAAAACATAATAAAATAATTCTCAGGACGTTTCGGCCACAACGCAAGCAGCCGTCCTCAGGTGAAGAACAGGTCTGTCTTATTATGTTTAATATTTATTATTTTATTATTTCCCTTCTACGTGACTTTACCGAAAGAACCAAGAAGAAGGTGTTGGCTCAATTCTCCGAATCCTCAGGCCCCCCCCCTCCCCACCACCACCTCTGAACGACACAAAAAATCGGCACATTCATCAATAACACTCCCCCACAAATGGGAGTAACGATTACATAACGGGTGACGTTTCTGGCAATGGCTCGTCATCACGACAGAGAGATTGATGAGCCCATTGCCCGAAACGGAAGGTTTGTGTTGTTTGTGCTTGTGCACCCAATGCGAACGTGGCATCACGAAACTTTCATTTGTTTCCAAACGCCGCACGTTTGTTCGCCCGGACCTTAGCTGGCACTTTGCAGCTTTTGACGTGTTTCGGCACTGGGGCTGGATACTGATGGACTTTCCTTTCATTAAGATGACATCAGTGGTTGGGAAAGGGTTCCACGCATCTTTGCTGCGATGTCAGTGGCAAGTAAGGATTCAGAAGGCTGAAAGGGGACTTTATTTATTCAATGAGTCATGTGAATAACGCAGGTGTGGTTAGGAGCAGGTCAAAGGTCGTATTTACTGCAAGGCAAGTTTTTGACTGGCTACACAAGCTGATCTAGAAAAGTTACAGAGGTCAACGTGAGTGTTAGGAAATGTGTTGTTTGGGTAAGAACAACAATGTCCGTGTAATTATCTGGATCGGCGAGCTACGAATTCAACAAAATCAACTGTACAATTAAGTTTCTACCAATACGAGTGTTGTTGGCACACGCACGGATCCCAGGAATTTCATGGCCCATTGGGTGACATTACTGACATAATCAGGAGGAGCTTGCAGTGGATGCGACACGTCTGCAATATAGAGGAGCAAAGGCCTACCAAGCATTGCAGTGGCACAGAGAGGTTGGTGACCATGGGAAGGAGCTCATAGTCCACTGGCTCAGAGCAGACATTTCAGCTGTCGGTACCGCTCAAGGTGACATAACTGGAGTGGTTCAAATTTTTGTTTGTGTGACCAACAACAGCGAACCATGGAGCCATTTAAATTGAGTGGGGCTATGGAGCAGTGCACTGTCATTGGGCCTTATAAAATGATCAGGACAACTACAGATGTTGCTTTCTTAAGCAGTACCAATCTGACCGTTGATGAATACACAGAGCTAGAGCTGGAGAGGATTAGGATAACGATGGTCAGATATTGGAAGAATTCACCCCCACACCTGCCGATTCAATAAAACGTTGTAAATGTTGGGGGGGGGGGTGGCATCACAATTAAAGGACAAACATTTTTTTAACACTGCAGCGAATGGCGGGCAGGGGTTACTTGAACCCCGTGCGCATGCGGGATATACGCGACTCGAAAATCATCAAATCTGACATGCACGACCCCACAACGCGCGTGCCGTGAGTGTGAGAGTCGATGCGAATGGGAGCTAAGTTGCATCTTTACAAACAATGGCGGAGACAGGATTTTCAGGTAGGGGGGGGGGCAACCCCTCCAGCAATGAAAAATGATAGAGGAGTTGTTAGTGAGTAAGGACTTGTCCCTTGATTTTTATTCGACGCGCGTGTGGCGATGACGCAGCCATCGATCGAGGGTCGAATTCGAACCGCGTTGTGTGATCGGCATCGCGCTCGCTGAAGGTGTTTGCCTTCAAGGAAGTCGTGCACTGTATACGCCACTGCGCACAATTCTGTGAGTCACTTATAACGGCTTTTGCCATTACTTATTGCCAATTATGGACTCAGACTTTTGTCCTATCATCTCATAGAGTCCCCGGCACGTAATAATACACTACACAGCGGCAGTGGGGGTCGCAAACCCCAATGATCCGATCAAAATTAGGGATTTCGATCGGATCATTGGGAGGGGCACGTGCCACCCCATCCCCACTAGCTCCACCAGTGTTTACAAACGTGATGATGATGATGATGGAAGGCGACTTACATTTTCCGCATGATGTCCAGCAAAAGGGCACCGTCAGCAAGGTCATTGTATCCGATATCCTCGTCCCCTCCTCTTTCCTCTGCAGTGCACAGCGTCTTTACCTGCGACACAAAAAGATCAACGCTTTACACGGAGGCTTTCGCCACCAATATTATCCACGAGGGTTTTTTTTTTTTGGGTTAGATCGCGTAAATATATAAATGTGTCGTTAAACCCGCCACCACCCGACGCAGCCAATTAGTCAAGGTTTGTCACGTAGACGGAACGTGGCCAATTCGTTACTAGTACAGCACACCGGTGCGTTTGGGACTAGCCGTCGCCTGATGATGCTGGTTGCAATTACCGGTGAAGCGTCGTATTCCAATTGTAAATGTTGTGGGTTTACTCTCCAACACACCGGTGTGCTGAACTCGTAACGAATTTAGAAAAAATCATAGTTCACGATGTTTCGATCGCAACACAAGCAATCATCATCTGGTGAAACTACAGCAAGAAAACTGCTGAAGTAGGCCTACTACAGAAACGTCGTGATCTATTATTATTTTCTCTTCTACCTACGTGACTTTACCGAAAGAACCAAAGAGTATGGATTCCTGCAGTCACGAAAGCTTCAAATCAAGTTTAGTAACGAGTTGGCATGTTCTGTTTACGTGACAAACATTACGAATTGGATGTGTCGGGTGGTGTCGGGTTTAACGACACATTTATATTGACGCGATCTAACCCCAAAAAAACCTCTATTACGGATAAAACAATACATTCACTTAATGTTCCTCTGCATAACGGCTTCCCCGGGCCGCATTAATCATAATCTTTATTTAGACTGCTGGAGGAATCCCATGAGCTATGAAGCTCTTGGTTAACAGATGTCCACTCAAAGTTGCAACGATACAAAATATAGAAAATGGTAAGCAAGTCACTAAAAATATCTAAAATAGATAAAGTATATCAGTTCAAATTGCACAAGTGCACCAATTCCTAAGCGTGGACAAGGCAGCGAAAAAAACGAGCAAACTTAATGTACGGCTGGATGAAGGCTTCAACACGCCGTGTAGGTTATGGGGAGGGGGCCCCGATTCGGCCGTACTGCACCATGCTGGTCAAGCGAGCAGTGGACAAGATGATACTTTCAAGTGTGAAGCTAATACCTGGTTAACCAGGTGACCAAGAGAGTCTCATTTTGCCATGGTTGACACTGGCTCGACCGAAATGACGAAAGCCAACCAGATAAATGACACAGATGAATGAAGCAAATATACATCGGAGTAATAAGTACGGTGTAACGTGAACATTTTTTTTATTTTGTACAATAAAAAATAGCATTGTTAAATCATCAATGCCCCTGGTCCAACGGTTCCAAAACCACATGCTAACGTTGAGGCGATGGTTGGGCATGTGGTTGGAATCGTTGGATCAACGTTGGTCTAACGTTCAACGTTTACTGGCGTGCAGTATTCAATTGAAGCAATGTCCCATCAGGAAACGTAAATTTTTTTTTTATTCTCATCAGGATCCACGGTACAGCCTCCAACTCGTATTATTCACTTCTTCTCATCTCTCTCTGGCGCCTCAATGTTTGTGCTCCGAAGGACCGTTGCTCGAAACGTCACCTATTGTCCATTACTTTCTTTCTAAGACCACACAGTGGAGTTATGTTCTTTTGTTTGTATTATGACTGCAGGTATTGCTGTCTATGCAAACGCGACTCCTTGTAAAAAGGTGTCAGTTTTGTTGCCAGATAGAAGGGTAAAAAACCAATTATCATATTTTTACTGGCAAATGAGGTTCCCATAGTGTAGATGCTTGCCCCGAGCTCTCATACTCTGATGGTGCATTGTCTTTGAGTTGTGCGCCTTTTGGCGTCATCTGGTCCAACCCATGTGAGACTAGGCTCTAAGGAAAGCTGTCTCGGGTGTGGACCAATCAATTTCAAGGACAGTGCATACATCATCAGTGTTATGTTTTTTGTTTGCATTCCGACTGCAGGTATTGTGGTCAATGCAAACATGACTCCTTGTAAAAAAAGGTGTCAGTTTTGTTGCCAGATAAAAAGGGTAAAAAAACAATTATTATTAGTCAACCCATAGTTTACCTGTATTCTTGTACGACGTACAGCCGTTTCAATACGGGCACAAAAACATTTGTCAATTTGTTTGTGTCCATCTCCCTTAAATTTCGATTTAAAGCTTTCGTGACTGCAGGGATTCATTTTCTTGGTTCTTTCGGTAAAGTCACGTAGAAGGGAAGTAATAAAATAATAAAACATAATAAAATAAAATTCTCACGACGTTTCGGCTACAACGCAAGCAGCCGTCTGCAGGTGAAGCGAAAAACGTCGTGAGAATTATTTTATTTTATTATGTTTTATTTTTATTATTTTATTACTTCCCTTCTACGTGACTTTACCGAAAGAACCAAGAAGATGCATCTCCCTTGTGATGGGGCTTTGTAGGATAAACGTTGATATTTACAAGGGCAACGGGGTGACCACTAGGGTCTGAATTGGGTCTGTAATAAGGTCGGGGCACTGATAAGGGGGTGCACGTCTTCGGCGTTTCATTGACGACTTAATCCAAGTGCTGCAGCCGCCGCTTTAATGCAACGCAAGACTTTTGCCCAGGTACAGAGCAAACATTTACTTAAATTTGCACCACAACAAACACAGAGGGAGGAAAAATAGCGGTCACAAACACCCGTTCATCTTCTACGCATACTAACCCAGACGAGGGGAAACAAAAACCCCTACAAAGGGCACGCAGATACACGCATAAGGGGCCGTCCATAAATGACGTCACGCGATTTTGTACGATTTTTGACCCCCCCCCCCCTTCGTCACGCGGCGTCACAAAAAGTCAGACCCCCCCCCCCTCAAATATGACGTCACAAAGCTCTGCCCCCCCCCCCCCCCAAACAAAAAATAAAACATGATTCAAATCGCTTTAAACTATTGTCATTGTAGTGCGTATTTAAAGTGGCCCTGCACTCTGATGTTGTAGGAGAACACATTTATTAAAAAGTCTATTTAATTAAGTAGAACGTGTTGTCTATATTTATTTAAAGTTGCGCATTTTGATGTGACGTCACATTTCTCAACCCCCAGCATTGTCACAAATGTCTGACCCCCCCCCCCCCGCATAGGTGCGTGACGTCATTTATGGACGGCCCCTAACACGTACAAGATATACACACGCACACATACCTACACGAACATGCAGTACCACACAAAGACAAAGATCCCCTCTGTAGCCTCAACAGACTGTAGGGGCAAGTGCTGTTAGCGAGCAGCACCTATGAAGCCCGGCACAGGACACACAATGAGATGGGGTGGCCAGCACCACGCCCGGCCGCCTTTGTCTCCCCAGTGGCACCAGGTACTCATTTGAGGCCGAGTCGACCTAGGGGATGCCCAGGACCGGTTCAGAGATAATCGTCACCGGTGTTGGCCGTGAGCGGTAATCAAACTCGGGTCGCCAGGTTCGTAGCGCTAACCGCTGCACTACCCACAGACACAGAGGCTGGGACGTGTTATAGTTGTTACTTAGTGATACACATGAAGAAGAACCGGTGTGGGGGTGTAGGAGACGGGGAATCAGCAACAACAACAACAGCAGCAACAACAACAGCAGCAGCTACAGCAGGGTCGAGGCCGAAACGTCGGTTTAAAGCCACAACATTCGAGGACAATTCTAGATTTGAAGCTTTCGTGACTGCAACGATTGCTGTATCACTTGATACAGCTATCACAACACTTGATACAGCTATCACAACACTTGATACAGCTATCACAACACTTGATACAGCTATCACAACACTTGATACAGCTATCACAACACTTGATACAGCTATCACAACACTTGATACAGCTATCACAACACTTGATACAGCTATCACAACACTTGATACAGCTATCACAACACTTGATACAGCTATCGTGCTGTGACGGTTCCACCTGAAGACGGAAGCTTGTGTTGCCTCCGAAACGTCGTGATTTTTATTTTATTTTTTATTTTACTTTTATTAATTTAATTTTTTTTACCTACGTGACTTTACCGAAAAAACCCTAAGAATATGAATTCGAGGACAACTCTGGGCCACCCCCTCGTGGGTCCGCAACAGCAAGAAGAAGAAGAAGACGAAGCGAAGCAGCTTCAGCAACAAGCGACTCTTTAAAGTTGAAACACTCAGCACCCCCCGCGCCCTCCACGCCACCCAGAGCCAGCCTCAGGTGACACAATGGACGGAGGACGCCGTTGGAACCGCACAGAGTGGAACAAAGCAGCAGGGAGCAGCAGCAGGAGCAGCAATAGCAACATGAGCAGCAGGAGCAGCAGGAGGGAGCAGCAGCAGGATCAGCAATAGCAACATGAGCAGCAGGAGCAGCAGGAGGGAGCAGCAGCAGGATCAGCAATAGCAACATGAGCAGCAGGAGGGAGCAGCAGCAGGAGGGAGCAGCAGCAGCAACAGCAGCAGGAGCAGCAGCAGGAGCAGAAGCAGCAGGAGCAGCAAAGAGGAGCAGCAGCAGGGAGCAGCAGCAGCAGCAGCAGCAGAAGCAGCAGCAGCAGGAGCAGCAGAAGCAGCAGCAGGAGCAGCAGCAGCAACAACATCATCATCAGCAGCAGCAACATCATCAGCAGCCGCAGCAGCAGCCACAGCAGTAGAAGCAGCAGCAGCAGGAGCAGCAGTAGGAGCAGCAACAGCAGTAGAAGCATCAGCAGCAGCAGTAGCAGCAGCAGCATCAGCAGCAGCAGGAATCATCATCAGCAGCAGCAGTAGAAGCATCATCAGCAGCAGCATCAGCGACGTACCCACGCCACGAGAGCGCCGTCCATGAAGACGCGCGCCGGCTGGCCGTGCCGCAGCATCTCGTCCATTGCCTCGTCTCGACTCCTCCGGACGACGACGATGATGATGATGAGTGGAGTGGGGGGGGGTGCGAGGCAAAGCGAGGCAAGAGGTCGCTAGGCCGATGGGGCCCCCCACCTCCCCACGCTTTATGGCCGATCCACTTTGCCCGTTAAGCTACAGGAGCACATTGTGTGCGTTCGTGTGCGCGTGTCTCTCTCTCTCCTCCTCCTCCTTCTCTCTCTCGATCTCGATCTCTCTCGCCCGCGGTCGTCTTTCTCAGCACAGCGGCCAGAGAGCTTTGCTGAAGCCGGCACGGCCTCGCCACCAAGCGGGTGACGGCCGTGGTGGTGGAGGTGATGGAGATGGTGGAAGCAGCAGCAGCAGCGGTGGTGATGGAGGAGGTGGTGGTGGCAGCTTTTGTGTGTGGCTGAGAGAGAGTGGGAGGGAGGGAGGCAGCTACGAGGAGGAGGAGGAAGGGGGGAGTTAAGGATCTCCGCCCATTTCCCCTTCAAGAGTTGACTTTTGTTTTTTTCTCACACGCAGCGAGTTGGGGGGAGGAGGTGGTGATGATGATGAGGGGAGCGGTGGTGCAGCGGTTAACGCAGCGCTGCGCTACGAACCAAGCGAGCCGAGTTCGATTACCGCTCACGGCTCAACAGCAGTGATGATCATCTCTGGGCCGGTCCTGGGCCTCCTCCCCTAGGTCGACTCGGCCTCAAATGAGTACCCGGTGCGGTGTGTAAACATCGCCACTGGGGGAGACAAAGGCGGCCGGGCGTGGTGCTGGCCACCCACCCCCTCGTGTGCCACAGTGGCAGCCTTCATAGGTGCTCGCTAACAGCACTTGGGGGCCGTCCATAAATGACGTCACGTCCATAAATGACGTCACGCACCTAGGGGGGGTTTGAGAAATGTGACGTCACATCAAAATGCACAACTTTAAATAAATATAGACAACACGTTCTACTTAATTAAATATACTTTTTAATAAATGTTTTCTCCTACAACATCAGAGTGCAGCGCCACATTAAATACGCACTACAATGACAATAGTTTAAAGCGATTTGAAGCATGTGTTTTTTTTGGGGGGGGGGGGCAGAGCTTTGTGACGTCATATTTGAGGGGGGGTCTGACTTTTTGTGACGCCGTGTGACGAAGGGGGGCGGGTGTCAAAAATCGTCCAAAATCGCGTGACGTCATTTATGGACGCCCCCTTACCCCTGTTCTTTATCTATGGGGGGTGGTGAGGGTTGATCTCAACTGCCGTTGATTTTATTTCGAACGTTAGCGGCCTCTAGTGGCTGCAAGGGGTTGGTGGCGTCCAGCCGTGCAGATATCAACTCATTGTGCCCCCCACTCTCAGCCGTTGTTTGTTGTAGAGGGGCTTTCTGGATGTTATTGGTCTTCAAAGTCTCCCCCCCCCTCCCCAAATTTGGAGCAGTTTGGCTGAAGATTCGGCCCATCCTCTGGTAAATGATTAACATTATCGTGCGCTTAAAGTTTAACATTATGTTCTTAGGTTTTTTCGGTAAAGTCACGTAGGTTAAAAAAATTAAAATTAATGAAAATAAAATAAAAATCACGACGTTTCGGAGGCAACACAAGCTTCCGTCTTCAGGTGGAATCGTCACAGCACGATAGCTGTCTCAAGTGTTAAATTCTAGATTTGAAGCTGATACAGCTATCGTGCTGTGATGGTTCCACCTGAAGACGGAAGCTTGTGTTGCCTCCGAAACGTCGTGATTTTTATTTTACTTTTATTAATTAAAATTTTTACCTACCTGACTTTACCGAAAAAACCTAAGAATATGAATCCTTGCAGTCACGAAAGCTTCAAATCTAGAATTTAACATTGTGGTGGGTTTTTTTTTAATAAGCGCACCAATCCGCCACCTGTTTAAATAAAGTGACCATACAGAGCTGGCTGACGGACTAAAATTAATTGAGATGATTTTTTTTCGTCGAGAGGTGTTTTTTTTTTTACAAATTGGAGATATTTCCCACGAACATTAGAAGGGCCATTTCCCAAAACGTCGGCGATTATATACACTGTCAGTTTAACACGAAGGCTTTAGCGACCAATATCTATAACGAAGGGTGTTTTTTTGTGTTAGATCGCGTAAATATGTCGTTAAACCCGCCACCACCCAACATGACAACCCTTAATTCATTGGCTGTCGGATGGTAGCGTGTTTAATGACACATTCATAATTACGCGATCCAACCCAAAAAACCTTATGTATATACATGCCTGTCAATCCCTTATCAGTGCCCTACCTTATCACAGACCAAATCAGACCTTATTGGTCATCCCGTGCCCTGATATATGTCCCATTACAAGGGAAAAACACAAATATACAAAAAAATTACTAAGCAACAATTGCTTTATGTATAAATTTGTATAATTGGTGTCAATGATGCTACTTATCATGGTATGCTGTCTGTGATATTGCATGCTGATGCTGCTGTTTGATTGAACTAAATCTGTCCCACGACTTTTTTTATTTGGCCGTATGAGTTGTTGTATTGCCCGTATTGAAACGGCTGTACGCCGTATGGACATGAAAACTCAATTTCCCTGTACAAGAATACGGGGTAAGGGGCCGTCCATAAATGACGTCACGCGATTTTGGACGATTTTTGACCCCCCCCTCGTCACACGGCGTCACAAAGTCAGACCCCCCCCCCTCAAATAGACGTCATAAAGCTCTGCCCCCATCACCCCCAAAAACCATATTTCCATTTAGAAAATAAAACATGCTTCAAATCGCTTTAAACTATTGTCAATGTAGTGCGTATTTAATGTGGCGCTGCACTCTCATGTTGTAGGAGTGTTGTTATAATAATTCTATATTTATTTAAAGTTGCGCATTTTGATGTGACGTCCCATTTCTCACCCCCCCCCCCCCTAGGTGCGTGACGTCATTTATGGACGGCCCCTTGCTACTACGGACCGGGAACATAGCTCAGGTCCACGTGGAGACTCGTTGAACGGAGAACGTAGACGAAGGTTTCTTCCAGGATGAACAACAACTCTGGTCTCTGCGGCGTGGCTGGCTCCGCCCTCGGCCACGCCCACCTTCCAGAATCCTCGGGAAGGATCTGGATCCCAACCACGTGACCCCCCTAGCCCCCACATGGGGCCCCTTTGTAGACTTAATTGGTCACGTGCCCTCTCAGGTCAACCAGAGTGCCACGGCTTTAGTAACATCATTCCTACGGCCGGCACTCCCACACAGTATCCTATAGGGGCTGACACTGCACGCCAAGCGTGGTGCTATCTAGCGCTGTCAATCAGCCCTCACGGGGCCCCTCTAGGGCCGGTACTACACTCACACCCTCGTGGTATCCGCGATGTCGTTACATCGCACGCCGTGCCTCTCGAGGGCCGGCACTGCATGTTGATGTTACTACACATATGTAGTATGTTAGCCGATGGGTCCTATGGTAATACTGTATGCAGAACTTCTTTCGCACCGTACGTAGCCAACCGTGATAATCGGAGGTGTGAAACATACGTTTTGTATTCGCCTATATTTCCTGATGCTAGTCAATGAGTTATATGCTAGTCTTTAGGTTATGTTCGTCTATAGTCCTGTACCGTACTAGTTTATAGTTTTAATGCTCGTCTAAGGTTCCATGTGAGTCTATGGATCCGATACTTGTCTAACGCTTCACGTTAGTCTACGGGTTCTATGTAAGTCTATGAGCCCCATGCTGGTCTAGAGGTTCTCCAAGTTCTATATTAGTATATGGTTCCTCCATTAGTTCACCAAAATAGGAGGAAAGCAGGCCTTTTGACCTCTAAAGCCACAAATGTCACATTTTTGTTTCACATAAATTGGTAGAAAGGCGGTAATGTGTCTCTCCCACACAATGAAGTTAATAGCACCACTAGCTGCTTTGAGGAAAATGTATTTAATCAACAATAATCCCGCTCACATAAAATACAATATTCAAGCACAAGAGGCTGCTGCTGCAAACAAGAATAGTAAATATCAACAACTTAAGAGGCAGCACATCCTGGGGAAGAAATGTTAAAGAACACCACATTATGAGTTTAATTGAAACTTGAACTGACGCCTGATACACCAAGCGATGTTAGTGGGAATTAACTTATCCGTGACTCCAGCCTCAACGAAATAGATCTGGGTTTCAACCATGAGCAGGATTGCCACCTTAAGAGGTACAAGAATCAGGACAAATCATGACAGGAAGCAGAAAGATCTCTTGAGAGAGCAGCTATCACATGGCTACATTGCTCTATCGTACCCCACTATATGGAACTACTGCAGACTATACCAATCTATGCAACAGTGCATCCGTGATAGCCTTGCGCTATACTAACGGCGCAAAGTGCAAAATGCACTCGTGATTTGATCTCAAAATACCGGCAGAGGGGAGAACTCCTCCATGTAAATGCATCGTCTTGAGTGGTGCATTATCATTCTTGGTTCTTTCGATAAAGTCACGTAGAAGGGAAATAATAGAAAAATAAAAACAATAATGATGATTGCTTGTGTTGCAGTCGAAACGTCGTGAGAATTTTGCTTTTATATTTTATTATTTTATTATTTCCCTTCTACGTGACTTTACCGAAGGAACCAAGAATATGAATCCCTGCAGTCACGAAAGCTTTAAATCAAAATTCGGTGTATTATTGTTACAGGACTCGACTGACATCAGAACTTCAGAATGTCCCACTTTCCCAGGATAGCAGCCAGCTCGACAAGTGGAGATCATACTCACTGGTTCTTTCGTAAAGTCACGTAGTTCGAAATAAAATAAAACAAATCACGACGCTTCGATCGCAACACAAGCGGTTGTCCTGCTGTATCGGTGCCACCTGATGAAGGTCACTTGTGTTGCGATCGAAACGTCGTGATTTGTTTTATTTTATTTCTAACTACGTGACTTTACCGAAAGAACCAAAGAGTATGGATTCCTGCATTCACGAACGCTTCAAATCAAGATGGAAGTGGAGGATCCTGGGAAATCCGGGACAGCTTACAAGACTTTGCAATAATTCTATTCACTGCACGGGTTTTTTTATTTGCACAGCTGTTGCAAACCGTTGAGCCACGCCAATTTTATTGAGTAAATGGACGTTGTTACACCCGTGACGCTTTTGCATGGTTTACATGCAGTCACATTACACGTGGCTTGCCACAACCACAAACTCGTTTCAATAGCTAAAGTAAAAAAAAAAAGAGGTAAAGGTGCAGCCCTGTAAGTGCTTGGTCAACACCACGCTACCGGTGGCTCTCCACTGCTGGGGCTCTAGAGACCCCTCCGATTAAACTGGTCAACAAACAAAAAGCATTTTTTTCTGGCCTGGACTTTTGCAGCTGTTTTAGACTAATTTCAGGGTGCCGATTCCAAATCTGATCTCAGATTTGCTCTATCACATCTCATTTTTATGCTATCGGCATACCCCATTTTCATTGATTTTACCCAACTCTGTCACTTATGATTGCAAGTTGTTGCGAGTCAGTGACTGCTTTAGTGTTAAAATATGGTGCTGTATTTTTAGGATAGTGTGTTAATATCATTTTATGTAGATATCCACGTTTATTTAATATTTTTCTTCTGCAGTTTTTATTGAAAATGCAACATTTTATATCTCAAAAACCCTGATGTGATAGACAAAAACTGATGCCAGATTTGGAATCAGCACCCCAAAATTACCTTACAACTGTTGGAATACCTTATGCCAGAAAAAGTGTGTTGACCAGTGTAATATTTTGCCGAGCCTCCCATGCTCGCCAGACGGCTTGGAAGTGGTGGGGAGTAGGACCCACACTCTACCCCACCACGCGTGATCGGACCAAGTGCTGTGGACCCATTTATACTGACTCGGTGGACAACGGTGGTGGCGATTTAAAAAATAAAAAATAACCCGTAAAAACAAAGTTTTTCACTATAAATCCTTTATATGCGTGGCGGCTAGAGTCCTCTCGTCCTCTGGCTTGAGATGGCTGCCACCTATGGGTCAGATGATTGCATTGCACCATTAAGCAATTGGTAATTAAATATAATATTTTTGTCCTAAAAAGTGTACAATTTTGGAATTTTTTTCACGAACATATTGTCACGCACAACGAGTCTGTGTGGAAAATGTCAGCTCGATTGGATCACGGGAAGTGGGTTAAAAAACGACCGAAAGATTTGCACGGTCCTAAGCAAGCAAGCGAACTTAATATAAAGGATTTAAAAAAAATGGCACCGTTGCTTCAGCTGCCTCGTCGGTAGAGTGAACCGATGAGCTCTGGATGAAAAGTCGAGCGTGATAACAAATCAAGTTACGAACACGAGTCGAGGACTGACACCTGGGCAAATCAGTATGCAACCCGTTCCAAAAACACACAAGTGGGAGGAAGAAAAAAACCACGTGCACCTACGGGTGCGAATAAGATGCACGATACAGGTCACGTGTCAAAGATGCAAAGTGTTTTACCACACGGTGCGACACGTCAGTGGTAGCTTGGGGGAAAAAAAGCGAACAGCAGAGACAGAAAGCAAACTCAAGCAAAATGAAATGGAGCAACTCGGTCTTGTAATTATTAAGGAATTCACACATTGAAGAACATCAATTAAAACCTTTTGATATCATTTCTGTACAAAGTATATAACCCAAGTGACTGAAATAATAAAGAAACCAATGGTGGAGAGAAAAATACCCAGTAATTGTTGCTCAAATTAAGGTGTCAGTTGCGCATAAATTACAAATCTGTATGCATTGACGATTCCCTTCAGACATGTTCTAAGAGTATTACACTATAGTGTAGTGATGCAACAACAGCCATCTGGACTTGCAATACAAATTAATTATAATCGTCGAGTTTATCAATCGACGATCTAACAAGTTGCTGCTCATGTCTCTTACTCTCAAGATAAGAGAATGTATGACGATGTGGAACCGTGAATTAGCACGAATCCAAGTTTCGCTACACCATAAAGTGGCCAGATTGCCCATATGAGGGGGTGATTCAGGGCACTGGGCTGACACCATTGAGATCCGAGGTTAGGAATCCCAGTTTCAGCTACCCATGGTTAAGGAAAATTCCTCAAGTGCAGTGGATTCGTGGTCTCACCCGAGTTTCCCAATGACTGCACAATAACAACCAGTCTGAATTTTTTGTAACTAAATTAAATTGAGCTTCATCCATTGCGTCGGAATGAACATTTCGGTTTGACACGAGATGCACACTCGTTGCAACGGAATAGGTGGTGCGCCCTTGTTGTAGATAAGGCATACTGAAACAAACTTCAGAATAATTTTCCCAATGTAATCTTGCGAGACTGGTCTGTGAAGCGCTCTTAGTCAATTTTTTTTTTAAACATTCTTTTGGGGAAAAAAAATATTTGCTGTAAATAACCAATTACACATCGATTTGTATTTTTTGTCACCACAAGCCTATATTAAGCAACTACCGTTATAAAATATAAACCAATGATGGCTACAAACTAAGGGGTTTTTAGGGGGGTAGAGTTTGTCAAAACCAAGTAATAGCATCCAAGTTAAAAAATATGAAATAAAAAAATGTGCACGCTCCTTATGTAATTTTTTTTATGTTGCAGCTATTACTCGTGCCGTATAAACCCCTACGATTCAGACAGCGCTCCGAAATAAACCTAGCATTAGGTTGCCAATACCTTTTAGAATTCCTTCATGAAATAAACAATTTAAAAGGTTCCACTTAGCAAAATTGTTTCAGCATACTGCATTTCTTAAGAGTAACACATGCCAATAAAATCGGATCACGGTTTGTAAGGAGCTCGCATCAAACGAGTCCTAACTTGCACCATGCCGCGTGAAGGTTCGTATTAACTAAACAAATTTTGAGACGGATCAAGATGCCACCACCACCAATACCGCAGCTCATTGCCAGTGCTTTGTACCCTCGGCCAGATCCCGTAGCTGCTGCGTGGTGACCTCCGACGGTCTGCCCTGACATTATCCCGTCATCGGCTCTTAGCTCTTCTCTTACCCGTTGGTCGTCGAGGAGAGCACTCCACTGCCTCTCACCGGGACTGGATCGTAAGATTTGGAAGAAAATTGTCATGCCCTGCTATTTATAATTTTCTGTCCACCTTTGGCTTTACGTACATGAGAAAAAAAACCCTTCAAAATTACAAAACATCAATGAAATAAAGTACAAACATGCTATTGCATTCACCCACGATGCATATATTTTTTTACATTTTCATATTTTTAGGTTTAAACAATATACTTTTTTTTTCAATCACTTTTTGACATTAATTACCACAAAGCTAAAACAGTGAGGATGTGAACAATGTATTAACCAAAGGTTCCAAAACGGAAGATGTGCAGTATTAGGCGTTTACAGTATCGATGGTGGCGCGTCATTGCATGTGTCCAAGACTGTGAAATGGTAACAAGGCAGCCCATTCAGGCTGGTGTGGGACGTTTCTCCATTGTCGGCTCATTCAGTCTCAGATGCTTTCACCGAAATCTAACGAGCGTAAGAAGCAATGCCACAAGCTGCAATGTTAACATTCAAAGTGTCATGCAGGAATGACAAATTAAAGTTAATGAGCATATGGGTGGTATAAATGTATGCTATATTGTAGTTATCACATAACCTTGGTTATTCAAAGATTAAAAGTAATGTTATAATTCCACATGCTTTGGTTATTCAAAGTATGTTTATTTATAACATATGGCTTTAAATCTTTAATCAAACAACCTCTAATATCAAAGCGCTTTTGAACAATGTATTTTAAGCACTACATAAACGCAAATAATATTCCTTGACATATCTTTGATGGGCGTACTTTAGGATCACATGAAGGGTTTTAAAATTTGGCAAATGTTCCTAAACTGTCAATTGCTGCTTGTTAAATTCAGAAAATTTCCATTGAAAAACTATTATGACATTTTTTTTTACGAGTTGGCCTTGATTTTTTTCTGCTGCTATTGTTTAAAACACAAACAAGAATATCAACGGATGCAAAACATACCTGTCCAGGTATGCACGGCACACACGGTCGGATTCACAACATGCATATGGCCTCAATCTTAATCATTACGTGACAGCCGGTACATGGTTCCAAAAGCCTCAGCAATTTCCACGTGCAGACGAAACCGAGATTTAACGAAAGAATCACGCGAGGCAGCGGACTACAACATGCCCGTACTACGACTCCGTATGCTGTAGGAAGCAATGTCAGACAAGTCAACGCATTCATTGCTCACACCCCTAATTACTACCAGTTTTCTCCACCGCTGACCCCTCAACTCGATGTCGCGTGTGCCGCGCATTCCACAAGCATCACGCACTGCGATTTGTATTGCCAAAATGTGTCGCGGCCAAAACAAAGTGTTAAATGAAGTGAAACCCGCGTGTTATTCGCCACGATGTCCGACATTTCGCTCCCCCCGCATGCGGAGAGATAGGTTGGACATCAGGGTAGCAGACCCAAAAACACAACGCAGGGCCACACGGCACAACTGCGAAAGCCTACGCAGGAGTGAAACCTACACACCAGAGTCTGTGTCTGACCGGCCCGAAATATCCAATTTTATGATGACACGGTTATCAAATGCCCGATTTTATTTTTCAAAAGCCTTCGTTTGCCAGCAGTGGTTGGACACTCACAGGGTTGACGTCAATTTAGTACGAATCAAAAATGTAACCGTGGGATGGTGACGGCTTGGAAAGGGCCTTCATTCAGCAGCTACTTGGGGCAGGGCTGACAATGATGTCGAATAACATTTCCATTTTCCAAAACAGAATGTTTTTTCCTTAACCCAGTTAAGCACGCAACGTTGGGCCAACGTTGAACACGCGGTTAGAAGCGTTCCACCAATGTTGGTCCAATGTTCCAGGTAAGACTGGGAGCTGCCTAATGCCTGTGTGGGGAAATATATCCATTGTTTTCACAGTGGATTTCCTGATCTGTGATCGGATGGAATGTCATGCGTAGCTCAATCTCCTGATTTAATGAAATGTATCTAATTCTAAATACATAAATAACATTTTCATCTTGGTCGTTGAGGAGACTTTTTTTTGACAGATATGCTCCCCGTCTTCACCGACTTGCGCAGACCAGGATGGTGAAGTTTAAACACACCTCTCCCCACAGGCTGCATGGTGTAAGGAGGCGCTCATCTGCTGTGCATCGACAAACAACCTGTACGTACACTCGCGTTCAATTTGTCCACCAATTGGCCAAACTGCGGAATTTAAATCAAAGTGACAGAACAGGAATCACGCGATAAGGATTCTGGAATATTTGAGCCATCGATTCACAATTTGGCATTTCTCCACCACCTGCCCAGCACAATAAATAAGATACCCGCAAAATGTCGCGCATCAAACGAGACGCTCTGAGATCACCGTGAAAAAAGTGTCCATGTTTTCCGTTCCCAGCGGCAGAAACATTGCATCTTGGGGGATAAGTAATCCAATAAGATGTTTTATGTAATTGGGGTTTGGTCCTTAATAGTTAACCGTGAAACGCCTTCCTACGTTTTTGACAATAAGAATATTCTATCAGCAGGTCGCTACGTGGAGCGCAATCTTTCACGATTTTACAGAGGTCATTTGTACAACACAGAACTGCCGGGCATGCCAAAAAGGTCTCAAAGGTGGCAAACACAATGCACGGTGAGGGCACGCGGCGTGACAACCAGAAAAGAAACTGCTCTCAAACAACCATCAACGGTCAAACATTTTGCGATATTTTGGAGAATACATTTCACTTCATTGTCATTCGTCAAAAAAAAGTCCCAAGACATCGTCACTCCGAGACAGAATGCTCCTGAAGCATTAATATTCATAAGGCCATTCAATTACAGTATATATATATATATAGTAGAAACTTACATTTACAATTATTGTTTTGCATTTTTTTTCCTTTCTCATTGCTCCCAGTCACATATAACAAGCACAGTAAGCACAATGTAAACTATAACCCCTGCACAACACAGCGTCAAAAGGGTTAAACATCTTCGGAAAGTAACTTTGTACACCTGTATCAACCATTTATTATTTCTTCCTTTTTTTTTTTTTTATCAGACATGCCTCACCGGTCCATCCCCCTTTTTAATGGGAATCTCACAATCCCTGCCGAGTGGTTCTCGTATTTTGTTTTAAATTGACGACGGCGAGGGACAAGAACATTCTCAGTTTCTGACCAGAATAAATAGTGCGGTGAGTAGTCCTGAAAATCACAACTGTGGTGGAGGCGGAGTTCACATGGAATCCTTCAAGACCTCCTTGAAGTTCTGCAACTCCTTGATGCTGGTCGACACTCTGTTCATCGCGCAAAAAAACAACACAAAACACACGGCAACAAAGGGAGCGGCTTCAAGCGAGTCATTAGGCGGGACACAGCAGCAGCAATTACGCGTCAAAATTGAAAAACCACAATGCTGTTATCGGCTACGGCAGGGGTGGGGGTGGGGAACGTCCGGCCCGCGGGTCGTATAAGGCCCGCAAAATCATTTGGTCTGGCCCTACCAAAGCAACCAACCGCAGGCAGGACTCGAAATTCAATAAATCTAGGAGCAAACCTGGAAAAGCAGTTGCGAGTAGCAACATCATCAATACCAGCTAACATCACACGCCTCACCAAAGAGAAGCGGTTCCAGCCATCACATTAGGGGTGAGTTAATTAAATGTTTGACCAAATATAACGGGCTAATTTTTAAGTTGATAATTTTGTATGGCCCGCGAATGATGTTATAATTATCCAAATGGCCCTTGGCCATTTGACGTTGCTGCGCTAAATCTGCGGGCCTGCTGCATGTGTAGGCATGCGATTTGTCGCAGAGGCATACACTTGCATGCAAAATTGAAACACAGGAGATATCACGCAAATATTTGGCTCCATATTCTTGGTTCTTTCGGTCAAGTCACGTAAAAGAAAGAACCAATAATATGAATCCCTGCAGTCACGAAAGCTTTAAATCGAAATTGATTTGGCTCCAGCAAAGGCACATCTGCCCCTCAGCCTTATCCCTCTTGTGATGCTACAGGGGCATCAAATTAATTATTCATAAATGTTGACGTCACGACGTGAGATTGTTTTTTTTCCATTTGGAACGCTCATAGCGAGAAGTGTACCACATTGTGTCAGAGACCGCAACCCGCCCCCCCTCCCAGAAGAAGATGTCATAGAACTACTTCTGAAGTCACCCCATTATCCTTTCTTTTACCTATACTAGGCCAGCAGGGTCTAAATGCCCTGCATAGTGTTTATCACACAGCAACAAAAACAAAAGAGGTAATCCTCAGAGCTGAAATGGGCCGCATAAAGTGAGTAAATCGAATTCAGTAGGATGTGTGTTTTGATGCAGTAATTTGTAACCAGGCTGAAAACATCAACTTCACAACTCTATTCTGAAGTGCAGGTCAGCAAAGGCCCCGCACCAATTTCATACATGTTTAGGGGTAATGTTCCATGCATTTTTTTGAAAATTAAAATAGCACTTGGGAGTGTAGATTACAGAATAATTAGAGATTTGCGGATCGCCGCCTTCTAAGTGCTCCGAGGTCAAGGCTCATTTTTCCTGGGGTGATCGGGCTTTTTGCCAGTGCAGCTCTCAAGCTTTGGAAGGCTTTGTCTTTGCTGATGAGACAATCGGAGTCGTTAGATATATCTATCTTGAAAGCTCACCTCTTTAAACTGGCCCTTACCCCCTTAGTTCTGGCCGTTACCCTGTTGGTTCTGTTTATTTCCTGATTTACATACACGGGGTGCGCATTGGGATCTACGGATGAAATGCGCCTTTACACATACACATCTGACAACCTACACGGTAAAAGGGAAATTGAGTTCATTCTAGACTTGAAGCTTTCGTGACTGCAAGGAATCATATTCTTAGGTGTTTTCCGGTAAAGTCACGTAGGTAAAACATCAAAATTAATAAAATAATAAAATAAAAATAAAGATCACGACGATGTTGCCTCCGAAACGTCGTGATCTTTATTTTTATTTTATTATTTTATTAATTTTGATGTTTTACCTACGTGACTTTACCGAAAACACCTAAAAATTTAGTTCAGTTCCATACGGCATAGAGCCGTTTCAATACGGGCAAAAAACGTGATTTTTGTCTATTTCTTTGTGTTTCTCCCTTGTGATGGGGCTTTGTAGGATGAACGTTGAGAATTACAAGGGGTGACCAATAAGGTCTGAATTGATCTGTAATAAGATAGGCATTGATAAGGGGTTGACAGGTATGCTTACAAATGTGAATTATTATTAACTGGGTACTAAAGTGTAGAGAGCTGACAATCCCAGCTTAGACGCCATGGAGAGGACAAGAAAATATCACATTCAACTTTTATTTTTCACTTAGTTTGTCACTATAAGGCAGAGGTCGCAACCGGGTACCCGATACCCGTACCCTACCCGATACCCGGCTACCCGTACCCAGCCGGGTACGGGTACCCGTTTGCGACCCTGGTGCGGCCGGGTACGGGTAAGGAATCAAAACCCATTTGCGACCTCTGCTATAAGGGCCTCTTGCAGTAATACAAGTGACTGAACGTGATAAAAGAAAACCGGTATTGCCAGGTCAAAAATGCTCCCCTCCAGTACCCGCTTAGTGCGGCTGAAAGATGCTTTGCAGCGATGGATAAATATAATTTTTCTGGGCCTTTGATGAAAGCAGCTACGGGATACGTGAAGCCGATGGCCCATAAAAATTAAGCGGCGGGCCTGTGTCTGGCCCATAGGCCGTAGGCTCCCCTTCTCTCCTGCTGCAGGATTAGGATCACGCTGGGAGGAAGCTGGAAGTGCAGGCCTCACCGCCCAAACGCGTTGATGAGAGCGACGATCTCTTGTCGAGTCAGCTGGAAGGGAGGGTAGGGCCCCTGCTTCGGCAGCTTCCGTATCTCCCTCTCCGAGAACAGGATCTTCAGCGCCGTGCCCAACCCTTGCGTCTGTCGGACAGCCGAGAAAGAACAAAGCAATTACATTTGTATATTTTTTAGTGTTATTATTACGCGTGTGCACGTGTGAACTTTTTTCCCACCGTACGCAACCAACCGTGCTAATCGGAGGTGCGATCAGGCTTGCTTACCAATACTGCTACACACAGCCTCACGACTCTTGTTAAGGAGGGACCTGCATGTTTTCGCTCTCGGGGGCGATAACCGCGATGCAGATTCCATTTGAGTAACTTCTATTATTATTTATAGCCATTCTGTCAAATGCACAGCTCGATAAAGGTATTATAACAAACCTATTGTACATGCTTGACATGCTCTGTCTGTACGGCAACACTCTTCGTTCTGTTTCAAGGTCTCCAGGATAAAAGCGCTGCTAAGCAAGCACATATCAAGGTTGGAGGATCGTACAAACCACCCAACTAAGAAGATTTACCTGCAGCTTTCCCCATAAGCGACACTTGTCGCAGCCGACGCAGTCCATGATCCGCGAGATGTTCTTGAAGTGCAACCGGAACTCCTCCTACAGACGGGGCAGAGACAAGATAAACATCACCACCGCGAGCAAGCGGCAGCCGCTGCCATACTGTCGCGGAAGTGTGCGCGGCAACGTGTCCACTTCAATTGCCATCCACGTGTACGCATGTTGTATTTTTTTCGCGGCCGTACGTGGCCAACCGTGCTAATCGTAAGTCTGGGGGGGGGAAGGACAATAAACTAAATACAAAAAGCAGTTCGAAATAAATGAGTTTTCAAGCTAGATTTAAATGTGCATCGCTCCAGTGGTTTGCTAATGTCGGAAGAGCATTCCAGACGGGGGCAGAAGCGCATCTGAAAGCGCACGATGCGGTGAACGTCTTTTGTTCGATGGCCAGCCAAAAGCCGCTGCGAGGATGACCAGAGTTCCAGTGATGGTTTATGCTCCTTCACGAGATCAGCAAGGTATTGTGGTTCGTTTGTGGAAAGCACTTTGTGTGTGTAATGAGTGCGAAGACTCTGTCTAAAACATCATGTTGACTGCTCCCCACCCACTCCCTTTTTCTCTCCATCTGGTATCACGATCATCGTCACCATGAGCCACGACATAGATGTTTAATGTTTCGCTCCACCACCCTTGGTGTCTTTCCACCACAACCCCCCCTGCTGCCACCACACAGTATTATCATCATGAGCCATGATCTACGCACTGCTGGATGAAGGCAAGCACGCTTGCTGCCAGTAGGTGGCCCTATGCTGCAATGTGGTCCGACCTGGGTAACTTTCCATCCACATCACGGACTCGTAACACGCTCACGTTGAAAATGGCTCCCCGATTCCTATGACCAGTGCATTGACTTTGGCAGGCAACCTACATAAGAGCTGTAGACGAACTGAATCCATATATTGAAGGGTATGTGTGTGTGTAGGGGGGAGCGGTAGAGTGGTTAGAACGCTGCGCTATGAAGCCGGCGGCCTGGGTTCGATTCCCGCTCGCGACCAACACCAGTGACGATTATCTGAACTAGTGCTGGGCTTCCCCTAGGTAGACTCAGTCTCAAATGAGTACCTCTTGTGGTATGTAAACATCAGTGTTCTTGGTTCTTTCGGTAAAGTCACGTAAAAGGGAAATAATACAATAATAAAATATTAAACAAAAAAAATTATCACGTTTCCACTGCAACACAAGCAATCGTCATCAGGTGTGAAATCCACAGCAAGATTTCACACCTGATGATGATTGCTTGTGTTGCAGTCGAAACGTCGTGAGAATTGTTATTGTTTAATATTTTTATTATTTTATTATTTCCCTTCTATGTGACTTTACCAAAAGAACCAAGAATATGAATCCCTGCAGTCACGAACGCTTTAAATCAAAATTTATCACCACAGTGGTGTCGGCCACCCACCCCCTCGTGTGCCGTTCCCGGTGATCGATAACAGCACTTGCCCAAACCGTCTGTGTAGGCTATACGGGGGAATTTCGTCTTTGTTTTGTGCAGGATCGTGCATTACGATCTCGAATTTAATCACGGAAAATATTGCTCCAAAACCGCAAATGCGGAAAGATGAACGTCAATGCCTCACCTTGAGTAATTGCGCCTCCTTCTCGTTACCGGAAAACATCGCGGTCTCGTCAAAATGCATCGGGAACTCCCTGGTTAAAACAGAAACATTGGAATTGAATGATGAGTAAGACCAGAAATCAGCAAATATATGTTCTCGCAGTGGTATATAAAACTTGAGCAGATTGGCGAGATACTTCGGGAGCCAGTCCATTCAAGGGCTTAAAGGTGAGAAGCAGAATTTTGAAGTCGACTGCTGTACTTTACAGGGAGCCAGTGTAGGGACGAAAAAAACGGGAGTAAAAAAGTTATATTTAAAAAAAAACTTTTTTTTAAAAACACGCTTTAATGAAATGTACCCTACTAGTAATGGAAGAACTCCACGACTCCAGGAAGTGGCCCCGAAGCTTGCCATGACGTCAATTTACCGTGGACAATTAGACCCAAGCCGAAACATTATAAAAAAAATGTTTAAAAATATTTTTTAATGATAGAATATAGTATTGTCATCAGTATGACATAAGCATACCAATTGTGCAGTTGATACCACATTGGGAAGTGGGTAAAAATTAAGTTACAAGATTTGAGGATACAACGACAACAACAACAGAGTGAGTTAAATAAAAGCGCATAAAAAAAAAAGGAACCCGTGCTTCCGCGAGCCACGCTGACACGGACCGCGGTACGGCCGCGGATGGCGCAAGCGGGGAAAAAAAAAACCCAGAATAATTTGGAAGCCTCCGTACTCACTTGGCGAGCTGTAGGATCTGCAGCAGCAGCTCCTTGGTCTGGTGGTCCTCTTTAGCGTTGCCCGTGTACAGGTTGCTGCTGGGCCGCAGGAAGAAGGGTGCCACTTTGGAGATGGCACGCAGCTCGATGAGGTAGAGGAAGTAGAGGTTGCGCAGCCAGCGCGTGCCCTGGCCCCTTGTCGTCGACGGGTCGAAGCGCTTGCGGAACTCATTGACGTTGGGCGCCCAGTGGGCCTTGCTGTAGCCGTCTGCCGGGAGAGGATTCAAGACAAAATGACGGTCTGCGAGCTCCCGGTAGCGACGGACGTTTCACCGGTGGGGCCACCAACCCGACAGGTGTGCGGCGGCAGCTTTAGCGGCTTCCCATTTCGTAAATGTGGCTGATAATAGCGATGTGTGCGCGATGACCGTTTGAAATGAGCGCGCAGTCAAATCTTTTACTCCTACAGACCGTATAAACACGTGGCCACCACTAAGATTTTGCTACACTAGCTGGTACCGATTTCTGCTGTGGCACGTGGACTAAAAACAGGTTCTTATTAAACCCTTTATATTAAGTTCGCTTGCTTGCTTGCTTGTGTACTTGCTTGCTTACGACCGTGCAAATCTTTCGGTCGTTTTTCAACCCACTTCCCGTGATCCAATCGAGCTGACATTTTCCACACAGACTCGTTGTGCGTGACAATTAATTTTCGTGAAATTTTTTGTTGCAAAATTTTACACTGTTTAGGGAAATTTTTTAAAATATTTAATTACCAATTGCTTAATGCTGGCAGACAATCATCTGACCCATAGGTGGCAGCCATCTCAAGCCAGAGGACGAGAGGACTCTAGCCGCCACGCATATAAAGGATTTATAGTGAAAAACTTTGTTTTTACGGGTAATTTTTTTTTGTAACTATATATACTTAACAAGAGCCCGTAACAAAGCACGAGCGCTAGGGGAAAGGGGTGCAATTATTTCACGGACAAGCCCGCGGCCAGGTGCCCACGGGTGTGAGCACAGGGAAGAGCGATTGGGGCTCACTGCCCCCCTACTCGCATAGGGGGAAACGACTGGAAACGTGGTATTTTTAGGGGAGGAGAGGGAAGGTGGGAGGGGTGCAGATGTTATTTTTCTAGTTTCAAAGTGGTGATGCTCTCTCTCTCTCTGTGTTGGTGTGAGGAGCGCCCTATTTTCACCTCCTCTCCCCAATACGATCAGGTCGGCCAATCGGTGAATTCACTCCATCTTTGTACGAGCACGTATAGACAATTACCGTGCTTGTATCGGTCTGCGCCGTCAGTCAGGCTCGTTACTCACGTCTCGTCGTAGTCAGTCACGTCGGTCTCTAGCTGGCAGTCCTCACGCTTGAAGTAATTTGTCTACTCTGTCATTAATTCGAGATTTGAAGCTTTCGTGACTGCAAGGATTCATATTCTTAGGTGTTTTCGGTAAAGTTACGTAGGTAAAACATTAAAATTAAGGTAAAATAAAATAAAAACGTCGTGATTTTTATTTTATTTTACTTTTATTAATTTTAATGTTTTACCTACGTGACTTTACCGAAAACACATAAGAATATACTCTGTCATTGTTGACTAAATATTATTTTTTTACTAATTTCATTCACAAAATTAACACCGTGCCATAGGCATCAAATGGAATGTGTTTTGTCATGAACGATGCCAGCTCCGTCATCTGGGTGGTGGTGGTGGCTATGCTGCTGCAGGTGGCTTGTCATCCGGCGCTTTGTATTCATGTAGAACTTCTTTCACACCATACGTAGCCAGCCGAGCCAATCGAAGGTGCGATTAGCACGGTTGGTCAACCCTCGCTGCTGCCTGTGGGAGCAGCAGCGAGGGTTGGTGAATCGCACCAATGTTGTGAAGCTCCCTTCCCGTGGGCATCGGGGGGCCATACCCTGGCTGGCCAGGCCAAGCCAGTACAGCAAGTAGGAATTCCACCCGTTACATCTGTAGGACATGGAGTGTTGTCCCCTCGCACGCATGGATTTTCACCATGTCCTCCGGTTTCCTCCAACGATAACCTACTTCACGTATAGAGGATCACAGAGCTTGGGGTGGAACTTGGCACCTGCTCAACACGTGGCTACTGCCTTACCCACTTGCGTGCGATTCCAGAGTTGTTCTCACCCTTCGAGAGCGAGCGAACACCGTGTGCGGCGCGTGACAAGTCTAAGTTATTGATAATTTATATTTGTAGCTGACTAAAGCGTATGGTGATAACGACGGGTGAAAATAAATTACCTTCCACGAGGTACTGGGCAGACAAGTGAATGTTGATACTTGAATGGAGACCCGAGATGAGACGGTAGAACACCCTCTTCTCTAGACACAGACCTATGAACCACAGCAAATCCATCATGAGCGTGCAACGGAGGCCGTTTCAGCAGCAGCGGAAAGCAGGTTGGAAAACGCAGGAAGTTGGGCAGAGGTCTGCAAACTTTACGCGCAGATTCGAATTTTTAGTCGGGTCCTAGACGATCATACCAATAAAACCTCTGCCTAATTTCCGCCCTCCCGACTTCGACTTTAGCAATTAGCTGAAACAAATAACAACATTAACAAGGAGCAAACGATATTCCAAAATAGTTCCATTTTGCATTTGGATACAAAAATAATCGCAACACAAACGCCTACTCTTGCAACCGTTGTCATACGATCCCAAGCCTCCGGAAACAATGACGTAGTTGCAGCCAAGGAGCAGAACTCGTCCAACAGGACTTACACCGAGATGGAGCGATAAAATCAGCTCATGCACAGGTGCTAGGCGATTACTTCTCAGAATCGCGAAAAGTCGCAACGCCTTCAGAATGCCTTCATCCAGCAGTGGATTAAGAATATCTCATGATGATGATCAACTTTCATTATAAGCTACCAGATGGTGGGAACCAATTCATGTTCATAAAATGTACTCCGTAAAGGGTAGGCTTATAGGACTTATCAATGGGCTGCCCACACACTCAGGTTATATTTGCCATATGTTGTGATTATATCTTGCCATAAGGAACCCTCAAAGTGTAAATATCCACTAGGCCAACAGCCATTGCATATAACCTATCAGCAAAGAAGGCATGGGGGGTGGGGGTTTGTGGCAACAGCTGCTCTTTACACAGGGGATTGTCTCCAATGACTTCCATTTACCGGCCAGGTGATCAAACAAGTTGCTTGCGCCATCAACCCACACTGCTCCTGCCAACAGCGTGGACCTTGTATAAAACCACCACTCGAGATTGCAAGTAGCAAGTCACGCACACTGCCCAACTGGAATCTACACGGGAAATCATCGACCCCTTCCGTGAAAAATTGGCCGGACCCTCCTGTGTAAGAGTGATAAGACGTTGAGTAGATAAGCTCAAAAATAATAAAAACTGAAACCGGCATCTTGCATTGTTCCACAATGTCAGCCTTTTAAAGCAGCATGAGCCCAGTTGAGCTCTCGGAAGATGTTCGGTCATTTCATGTCAAGTGTTTCGTCACGTCGACCAGAATTGTCGGTCTGCGGTGACCTGTGGCACTCGTGAGCAGACATGGCTGTGGCTTCACGCAGCGGTGACCAATGCGGTGGACCCCACAAGCCCTACGAATCTTATTATACCGTAAAGGCGATCGCGAAGGCGCCGAGTTCACATCTGCAGTGGTCTCGCAGTAGAGGGCGACGTTGCCGCCTTGTTCCAACCGAGTAATTTTTTTATCTTATCTCCGGGACCCTTTGGTCAGTATTAAGATGATCAAAAAAGGCTTTACCCTTTACGGCATAATACAGGTGTTCAGATGTCAAAACACCAAATACACACCTATAACAGAGCAACAAGTCTTGTGAAAGGTACGTTTTCAAATGTCAGATCTGAATGATGACAGTGGCAGACACAGCCTATTTTTTTTTTCAAACAACACAACGGGAAACGTAACATCAAATGCGAAGCAGACGGCGTTGTATGCGTCGGGTCGACAACACGGCAACATTATCAAGGGGAGGCCGCAGGGTTCGAACCGCGAAACCTTTGCAGCAAGCGGCAAAACCACGCGAAAAGCTGGGCCGCGTGCCGGTGCCCACGGTCCTGCCGCTCGCTTGTCAAGGTGAGGCACGCGCGAAGAGGGGGGGGGGGGTGAGCAAGAAGGGGGGGATTGTGTGGCACGGGTTTGTAAATGAATCGCAGGGCGTAAGCGCGCACCAGCACAGGACACAGCACTGGACCTAGCCTCCTCCTCCCCTCTCTCTCACGGGCACACCGGTCGCTGCGAATTACGGTGAACATCGCGAACGAGGCTAGATTAGAGAAATTAGTGTACGCTGAACTTCTTACGCACCGTTCGTAGCCCAACCGTGCTAATCGGAGGTGCGGTGGAAGGACAACAATCCGACAGTGCTACACTGAAACTACTGCTGTATTGAGATGGTTACAAATATTTTATTTTGTCTGAAAACCAGGACTCCGATTGAATGTAGTTATAAGTGCGATGTGCACTTTCCCGTCACGTGTCAACGGAGCATTGTGGGGGTTAACTGACCATACTTCACCACGCTGGTCAGCGCAGGATGGGCGATGGCAGGCAGCAAAGACGTGGGAACAGAGAAGTGCTGCACAACAATGGGTTTCTGTTGCGCTGCTTCCTGCCAACAACCACGTAGCCACACAAATAAATATTGTAATTCCTGGTCTACAAACTGGCACGCAATAATTCTCTACGATAGAGAAATGCATTAAAAATGTCATGCCTAGGCACAACAGAAGGTGCACTTCTTCTTGGTTCTTTCGGTAAAGTCACGTAGAAGGGAAATAATAAAATAATAAAAATAAAACATTATAAAATAATTCTCACGACGTTTCGGCCACAACGCAAGCAGCCGTCCTCAGGTGAAGACGGCTGCTTGCTGTCTCCCCGACAGACCTGGTCTTCACCTGAGGACGGCTGCTTGCGTTGTGGCCGAAACGTCGTGAGAATTATTTAATGTTTTATTTTTTATTATTTTATTATTTCCCTTCTACGTGACTTTACCGAAAGAACCAAGAAGATGAATCCCTGCAGTCACGAAAGCTTTAAATCGAGAAGGTGCACTTGTTTGAAATTCATGCCATGAATGAAGTTAGATCTAAACCATGAAACAATACACTTGGAGAGACTTAGCTAGCGGTCACTAAAGCCATCTATCTACAAAAACCATCCGGCTGACCCCTAATCAATCTGGTTTATATTATTTGTCCGAGAGGAGGCTCGCCCAGCCTATCCTGCCCTGGTGGCGCACTTACAGCCCCGTCATTACCTTCGAGCCACGTGTAAAACCCCTCTCCTGCAACGGCAACACACACGCACACGGGTCACGTGGGATGACGCGGAAATTTGGCTCCTATAATACAGGAGCCGGTTTCATTACCGCTTGCTTGGCCACCGCCAACATCATCGGCTTCTCACGCAAGCAGTGGAAAACCGATTGGAAAGAGAAGACGACCGGACGAGTCGTTTCACACGCTCGTCCCTACCGTCCATCGTCACCAGTCCAGCGTAGATTCCCAAAAATGCAACGTCGGGGTGCCGTGTTAAAAATGGCACTCGCTTGGGTCGATGCTTTAATTGAAAATGTTGCCGAAAAAAAAATCACGATAGTAAGAACTTTGACAGGGCCACCAAATTTAACACTGTGCGGTTTAGGAAAATAATGGTCAATACCTCGTGTAAATTGTACACGTTTCATCTCTGCTCCTACACGAGTGTGAGGAGCTATGGATATAACACTTCACTTCATTTCAAGCCAGGCATATCTTAACATTTGCTAGCTGTTGAGATAGATGCACCGATGCGTCAGCTGCCATGACAAGTCATCAAACCTAACACCTGTGGATCAACTCCCTGGCCCTGTTCAAGTCCAGGCTCGACTCTTTTTCTCCTCTGCCTACGACCGACTGGCGACTCCAGCCAGCATCGACTGAGAAGTCCCCTACGGTGAGGCACAAGTCCCCGACTTGTGGGAAGATATGGCCGTTGGGAGGACTGGGCCGCTCGGCCATGAACAGGAGTACCCCGACAAACTGGCCAACAAAGATGGAGCAGAATATCATAAAATGAGATGGACAACGATGATGATGTCGGAATGCCTAATTCTCTGTGAAATGAACACGCCCACCGATTCTGTACAGCCTCTTTGGGATGCCGTCGCATTTAGATGCCGTATAAATACGCATTGCGATTACAAAACTTTGGCTAACGCGCAATAACAAATACACAAACTGCCCATCAACCCAAAACTAAAATGGGACATTACAAATGTATTTATCTAGAGAGTCTATATTCCAACATGCATTTGTTTGCACTGGACAAAAGAAGTATTTCTAATCGGTGGAAAGGGCTGTCCAATCAATGTCTGTAGTATTTATTTACCGGCAGCTACGCACATCCACGCACGTAGTGGCATACAATGGCATACACTCTAAGCTGCTGACAAGCCCCTCTTGATGTTCAACACTTCCGTGTTTCAACAATTCCACATTGTGTACTACTCAACCAGTGAGAATAACTTAACACGTATTTACCCATGTCTTAATGATGCTGCCATATGCAATAAGGTTTATATATAATAATAATCGTTTGGTATAAGTGTCAATTGGGGTGGAGTGGCGGTGCAGTGGTTTTGGCGCTACACTATGAATCCGGTGACCAGAGTTTAATTCACGGCCACGGCTAACATCAGCGGCGAGTAAAAGTAGCCATGTCCCGCATCTCGCTGCCACATTCACCAACCCACACGGACCGGCGTGGTGAAGTACGGTCAACTGCGTGAATGTCACATGACTTTCTACCATCACTGGAACCAGAACTGAGATGTGTCCTTGCAGCTGTGCTGCCTGGAAGAACCTTAAGTCAGTGCAAAAAGCAAAGCATATTTAATTAACGCTGCCTCCTATCTATTTAATTTTGTTGAACTAGAAATGTCCCATCAATAAATGCATATCCTGAGTACTAACGATTTGCAATGTAACTACATCATCTCTTGTGCTGAGTTTTTGGCATTAAAGAATTAAATTTCTGGCTTTTTACCGACAGAATGTAATGTCTGGTTTCTACTGACAGCCTGTAGAAAATTACCAAGTAATCACAATATTTGATGACCCTGTAGAAACTCTTACATTCTAAGTGCCACACTGCCTACGAGCACATCATTTAAATTACATATTGAAATTTAACAGCATATTACGTGGCGAATTAAAACGTCCTCTGTTCGTCAGATTAAAACATAAATAGAATCAGTCATTTAGGTACAAATATTTCTGTAAAACCAAGTCGACGCGTTGATAAGTTGCAAATTCAGTTGTGACATGAAGAGAATTTTCAAAAATGTCGACAAAGAAATCTATATTGTGCGTATTAAAAATATTTTTTGTTAAAGTGACATTCAACACCAAGCATGCGTAGAGTCAAACAATTGTAATGTGGTAGGAGCATCACATTTTTCAGCGGCAGTGACAATCACATGGGAATTAATGATACAAGTGTAAACTTCATTGTTGTTGCACTACTTAATAACTATCACTTTGTATAATTTAACAGCGATGCTGAATACAATTAACGTGCCAGATATCTTTGCATGCGCAACGTGAAATAGGACAATGGGTTACTCGTGAAAAATAACCGCACAGAATGTTGGAATCGGCTGTTGCTTATGCATTGCCGAAAAATTTGGAATTCATAATATAATCTATAAGAGGGGTTTTTGGGTTAGGTCGCGTAAATATATGTGTCGTTAAACCCGCCACTACCTGACACAGCAAACTAGTAAGGGTTGTTGCGTAAACATAACGTGCCAATTTGTCACTAGTACAGCACACCGGTTGTGTGTTGGAGAGCCAAGCCACAACATTTACAATCTGAGTACGACGTTTCGCCAGTAATTACAACCAGCTTCGTCAGGCGATAGCCAGATTTGCGCTGATGAGCAAAGCAGCTGGAGTGAACCCGATCTCGTCAGATGTCAGAAATTCAGCAGGACCGAGCCTGCACCGTTCTTGGGATGAACCACCACTATGCAAAGCCGGTTGCTATACGGTGTGGGGGTTAAGTGATGGGCAACCAAGGGCAGTGCAGAAACATCCATTGTTGTACTGTACTTTCTACGCTCCCAGATTCATGCATCCGACCTTCACCAAGCCACACTGACCAGTGTGGTGAAGAATGGTCAAGTAATTACCACGATCTAGATTGTTTCTTGCTGTGGTTGTCACACCTGATGACGGACGCTTGTGTTGCACTCGAAACGTCGTGATTTAATTTATTTTATTTTATACCTACGTGAATTTACCGAAAGAACCAAAGAGTAATTACCACAAACTGCACATGGGAATGCCCTCTTTCCAGCAGTGGATTGTTGAAAGGTTGCACGTGTACGTATGTACGCAGTACATATGCAAGTGTTATGTAGGTTATGAAATGTGTGTGGGAACGTATATCTGCGTATGTTAACGTGTAGTGACTTTGCACATGTATTACATGAAGCTGATGTAATATTAAATGAACACTAATCTGTAGCGTATACTCATTTCGTGTTTGAATTTCAAGATAGGTTGTGTAATGTATTATTTAAAATTATACAATTCTGCCACTATGGTGTTTAGATATGGCAAAACAATCTAGACAGGGTTTAATGTGACCCAATAGTTAATCATAATATCTTAATTCACAATGATTACCTAAACTATAAATACCAAATTGTGGATGTCAACTGCTCAGGTTTAAGGCTCCATGAACAAAACAGCTCATACGAATTGATAATTTTATGACAACGCAGGTCCTGTCCATGATATCACTAATTCCCATTGTAATGTCACATCCACTTTCATCAGAACACTTGCAAATCAAAGAACGAGTTGTGAATCAAAGATGTGAAACAATCAAGAATAAGAACATTGGATAAAACAAAACAAACGTCATAAATGTGAATAGACGAGTGTGTGATGCCGGGCCCACGCCTGTGCGATCATTTTCGCAACTTCGTTGCAAGCAACTGAATTGTTCGTGATGTGCAACCAGTTGCGAGCAGTTTTGCAACCGGTTTCTTACAGCAGAGATGCCGATTGGCGAATCATGATTAGCTGTTACAATTCTAAATGCGTTAGACATCCGTTAAAAAAAGAGCTTTATAACTCATCGGATTTCTCCAGTATAAACAAATATTCTGATTATGAATGTCCTTGTTGCGCAACCACTCGCTCAACAAGATGTGGACAAAGCAGTTGCAGGCGATGATCGAGTTGCGCGATTTCGCGAGTTGCGCGATTGCGCGAGTTGCCCGATTGCGCGGCCGATCGCTCGGGTGTGGGCCTGGCGTTTAAGGGCCAAACTGGGCTCCGCCAATGCTCAGCAGAGATATCCACCAGCCTTGGTTCCACGACCAAACGTGACCCTTGCGTGCCACCAAGCTCTGGCACAAAGAGCAGGGGGTAGGGGGGGAACCCTTTCCTTACCTAGGGCCCTCTTGGGTTCTACGGTAGCTACGGCAGGCAACCACACCGTGGCTGTTAATAAACTACGGCCGGGCTAGGACTGCACGTGTTGACCCCGTGTGTGCTCAGAACTACTTGAAAGACAATCGTTTACTGGTAAGGTGGTAAAAAGGTGCAACCGTTCCATTTGCTTGCTCCATGCCACTCCTGGCAAGAAGGCCTGTGGAGTAGAATTTTGGACCCCCGCTTCCACGCTGGCCCTATATCTTGTTAGAGGTGGAAGTATCCACACTTTACCCTGCCAGACGTGACCTGCCGATTGATTTACTGCAGTGAACACATTTATATACTTCTGGGCGGACAGAAGTGGTGGGGGTCGGGGGAGATTTTAGAAACTTGCACCATTGTTTTAACTGCCGTGCCTGAGGTTGAGCACAGGTGAGAATGAACGTGCTAATATTATAAAGTGTTTCAAGGTATAAAATATATCTCTAGTATTAGTGTGACTGAGATGCTTGCAGCGACAGATAAACATAGCTTGCAGGCAGTTTCATAGCAGTACATCGCACGGAATTATGGGTCGTATCAAATTAAGTTGTGGGCCGTGTCTGGCCTATGGGCTGTAGGTTCCCCCACCCCTGACATAGAGTTTATTACTCCGGCGTGCAGAGCGACACAGAGCGGTTGGTGGACACACTTTTCTCACGATGAGTGACAAAATAGCTGTGCTGCTGGCTTTTAACGGAGCCTACTGCTGGCCGTTGTGTTATCCCATAATGTACGAAGGGGTGCCAAGGGAGTGTAAAGGTACAAAAATACAAATACAGAAACAGATCCGACAGAGCAGGGTAGTAAGCACATGCATTAGTCATCTCACTGATCAAAGCAATAAGCCTAGTACAGCCCTCGGAAAAAATATTTTACATCAAAAGCCTTCTCACCTTGAATACATTTTAAACGTTTTCTGCTTAAAAACTAAACTTCACACATTTCCAGGGGGGGAAAAAGCGTAATTTGTTTCCGCTTAAAACTCCCACAATACGTTAAGAAGATGAACGATGGCTCCTTCTGCAATTACATCCATCTACGCTGCCCGAGCCAAATCACCAGGAGTGCACTCCAATCTCACCTGATCTCGAAAGCAGAGGAAAGTCACACTGCAGGGTTGGGTTACCGACAGGGCTAATGCACCGACTGTGCGCCTACGTCTCACCATGAAGCATTTTTTCTAGGGCTGAACTAGAGCATTAGTGGTTAACGTACAACACGCACAAACACCGACGACGAACAATTCAAGGGGGCAACGCAAAAGCAGCAGCTGACAAAGTTCGGTTCGTGCTTAAGTCAATGATTGCAGGGAGGGGCTCGCATCAAGCAAAGCTACCAGATGTCCCGGATTGGCCCGGACTGTCCCAGGTTGTTAAAAGGCTATCCTCGGTGTCCCCTTAAGCCTTTGTGTATTGCAGAATTTTGCTCCGTCTGAAATTTTTCCGACCTCACGCTCAACTCGTGATACACCGAAAGGGCCAGGGCTGGCAGAGGTGTGGGCAGGGACTGTGAGCAAGAGGCTGGGCCGACGTCACAAACAGCAAATCCACTGTGGGTTGGGCTAGCAGTTGGAGTGCGCGTGGCAATGCAGAAGTAGACGGGGCTGATGGGGAGGGCCCGTGGGATCTCCACGTGTCGTCGTCGTCCCCCCCCCCCCCCCCCCCCCGGTCGAGCCTCGCATAGATTTTGTAGCTTTAACCGACAAATTAGATTCCTGGATGGCCCATATTTTTTTTAGGAAACAATTTGCTCGATTTATTGTGCTAATACTGGTATGCTCAAACAAATCGGGCAACTATGTAATTGGCGTTCAGGGATATTACCCATCAAGTTTACAAAGTGGCACAATGTTAAGACGGTAAATGTGAACGTTTTTTATACGACGGGGAATTCATTGCACGGAAGCCAAGTCAGCTACAGCGAGCGCATGCAGATGCCACAAGTGTTAGTTTTTTTTGCCTTGGACATGCAATATTTACCACCCACAGTTAGACCCTTACCGTCATCTTCACCTGGGGAAATAAACAGGCAGCAGGCATTTAACAACTTTGTATGAAAACGATAAGTCAATGCATTTGGCAATAACACCGTCCCAAAAGAAAAAAATATACCTTAATTCTTCGTCAATAAAGTGATAACAAAATGGCCAAACAACAAAGATCCCCCATATACCCTTAACAGACTGTTAGGGCAAGTGCTTATAGCGAGCACCTATGAAGGCCAGCACGGTACATGAGGGGGTTGGTGGCCAGCACCACGCCCGACCGCCTTTGTCTCCCTCGTGCCGATGTTTACACACTGCACTAGGTAATAAGTTGAGGTCGAGTCGACCTAGGCAAGTCCCAGGACCGGTTCAGATAATCGTCACTTGTGTTGGCCGTGAGCGAAAATCGAACTTGAGTCGCCGGGTTCGTAGCGCAGCGCGCTAACCGCTACACTATCGCTCCCTCATGGTCTCTCACACATGCACGCCTATGCGCTGAATTATAATACTCACTCAATAAAGTGAGACAAATCTGGCCACACATACACACTCCTACTGGATGATGCGATGCAACCTCCAACTTTTCTTTCACACGGTGGCAAAAAGTGGGTTTTATTATCTGGAGAATATGGTAACAGTCGCCGTTTTAGGCAACAGCCCTTGATCATGGCATCATAATTTTTATTGATGGCTCGCCAACGGTTTACACTACACATTACAGAGGTATTTGTAAGTGTGATCATCGCCGTCTGTGCTACGATTAACTGTCGATTGACTTTTTGCATGGGTTGAGAGCCCCACTGAGACCAAAGTCTATTTTGAAAAGACCTCGGACCAAACACAAAACAACCAACAAAATAATTGAAAAGAACAACACAAAACATTCAGTGGAAACAACAATCAATGTAAAAAAAATGCAATTAACACAGAAAAAAAACATATAAACAAATATCTGATATAAAATATTGGGTCAGATGTGATGGTGCATGCCATTCCTGTAATCCAGTGCTTTGGAGCTTGGAGCTTTACAACTGCTAAACCCACAGGGTCAAAAGGTGGCAGGAGAGGAAAGTGGGTTCATGAACCCATCTGTGTGCAACTTTGAGTGTCATACTCTCGTTTGGTGTGAGGTTTCTCTGGGTAATCCAGTTCAATCTGCATGCAAGACATTCCTTCTTGAAAAAGAAAGGATCTGGTCAAATAACCTAATGCAAGACCCTCCTCCCCCTCGCGAGTCTTGAGACTCATTGAGGCTTTCCTGGATAAATAAATGGCATTCTTATTTTTATTATCACACGAGACAATATAAATGTTTAAAACATTATACGGCTAAATATTTAAACAAGCAAGCTCAAATCATGATGATGATAGCAATAACAAACCAGTTGTATTTTGTCAAAATAATGTTATTTTGTTTAATCATTCGCAGCAGCTGAATAGTGGCCAACATGAATATTTTCTTAAAATTATTCACGTTTTGCAGTTGCCAATTAGCTGTGCCAGGTGTCCACCGACATGTGATGGAGGTGGTAGTGTTAATGAATTTTCTGCGGGACGCAATAACATTCCCTGACATTCGCATATATTTATATGGTTTCACAACACGGATAATATCCATTAATTGAAAAAGAAAGGACTCACCGCGATTGGGTGGCATCAGTGGATTCAGCGGCCTGTACACCGAGCGAGGCCTGCACAAACAAAAAAACACATTTGCAACATTCGGATATTGGCAGACATTTGTACATTGCAGACTGGAATATATCACGCGTTGCAACATGCGTTTGTCTTCGGAAGTATTGAATTGGCTGTGTGGATGCCGGAAGGTGGCTGTCAGGACAAAACATGTTTGCGTAGTTGCAGTTAAGTATTTTTTGCTGCGATTAGTCTCCCGAGTTTTTGGGCAATAACCCTTCGATCAAATTGTCTGGTTTTAAACAGGGCGAGTGCCAAATATAAACACAACTTTCTCCTAAAATTGTGTTAATATTGTACCAAATGCTAAAATCGTAATTGAACCTTATGGCGGGACCCCGGGGTCCAATAAGCCCCCAAGTTCTCACATAAACTGCGTTGCGACGTCATTTTATGTCTGTTGAAGGCGAACGAAACTGATATCTAAATATCTCATTCCATAAGAAATGGGTCCTATTTGTTTATATTGGATGATCGTTTCAGATTTAAAGGACAGGTTAACCTTGAATCATGATGCGGCTGATGGTGTACCATCAGAACATCAACAGGCCGATGCGCACATCTCCTTAATAATTTTTATTATTAAAGGCACTGACCACAGGCAGTGTGCGGCTGTGACCCGTGCAATCCAAACTGTGGACCATATCGTAAACCACTGTCGCCTGCGCTCCTTGAACGACGGAGGAGGAGGAACAGAAAAACTTTGCGAACTCTCTCCTGCAGCCATCTCGTCGTGGCTAGCAGACCTTGACACTGACATATTGCTGCTATACGCAAGAATAAAACAGAACCTGGAGCCAACCATCGTCAAAGCTCTAAAACGTGGAGCCCCGAGGAGGCTCTTGGATGGCACGGCACGAGGTGGCACCAGTGCTCGTTCTCACTTGAAGCAGTTTTCCTCGTAGATGCAGTTCCAGATGCGCCACGCAGACGGGCCCTTGTAGCCAGTGTAGCGCTCAGGGTTCAACCGCAGGTCAACGTACTCCATGTCGGGCGAAGTCTCGTCTGAAAAAGGTCCCAGTACATCACCTCGTCGTCAGTTATTTTCTATCCACTGCTGGATGAAGACATCCCTCCCCCCCCCCCAAGCCATCACCATCTGTCACAGTCTCGCGACGGAATAATCTGTCTGGCTCATGCGCCGTCTCCTGCGGTGGATGTATTCTAAAGGACGCGTCCTCTCCTTTAGCTACCATTGCATAGTTAGTCTCGACGACCAGTCATTGCCCCCTCCAGCGATGTGTCCTGCCCAGTCCCTGTTACTTTACTTTCATATATCACGAAAAAATTATTAAAGCATATTTAAATATTTTATATGCAATCCAAAGACAACCACATCTGAAGACGTGGTACAAATGGACAAATAACCACGTGCATTTAATGTTTGAACTTAAGGAGTTTATTTATTTATTTAGGATTTGTTTACAGCAGAGAAAAAGGTAGTATGATGATATACATCATCAGTATATTATCCCAAGTCCTTAACAAATCATAAGTGTCAATAGCCACGTGTCACATCATTAAGAAACATTTAAACTTACCAGGTGAGAAATCAAAGAGACCAGGATAGTCTCATTTGTAAGAGCGACTTAGGACATGTCTGACAGGGGGGGGTGGGGGTAATTGCTGTGTATAATTCCAAAATGTGTCATTTGCGGGTAATTTTGCAAATTTGGCAAATTTTAGACCGTTAAGCAGGTACACGATGGCCCAACTATAGTGCAGTAAGTCAAGGGAAGCTAACGTCCACTTTGAAGCATTTTGACAGTTATTAGCACCGTCAGTGATAACCAGGGCGGCCGCTGGATTGAAACCGTGAACCTCTGAACGAGCAACGGAACGCGCCACCGTGAGGCCACGTCACCATCCGAGGGGCGAATGATAAATAAACCTTCCCCACCCCCCAATACTTCACCAACCTGCATGTAGCAGCATGGGGAAGTACGGTCAAACAACTCCCACTTGACCGTTATCCTTGACTACAAGGACATTGGTCAAAGCCAAAAAACCACGATGAAATGCAGGCCATAACCAGCTGCATTGCCAGCATAACAACAACAATAGCATCTGCCTTTTCGCCACTAAGTGGCGGTGATGTCACCACGGCGCTTGTACCAGACTAGGTACAACAACAAACGTACTGGCGTAAACGGACTTGGACACAAACATTTAATTGGAGATTGAAGAAACCGATGGGCTAGGAAGCTCTAAGTTGGGGTCGGCATTAGCTGAAAATTACAGAGGAAGTAACATAAGTAGAATGCTATATTTGTACGAGTTTGTTGTATTGTGTGAGAGCGTGTGGTGTGATCCACTTGCCATCAATCTCACAAAAGTTATCCAGAGAATCATCATATCTTGCCCAGTCGATGAAGGCCACTTTGCTTTGGTCGCTGTGGAAATCAAAAGGGATGGAATATCACAAAAATATATAAAATCGACATTATTTAAAAACAACTCCAATACATGAGCAGAGCACAAATATGGGAGAGAAAAAAAATATATAATAAGGAAATATCATGCTCACTGCTATGGAAAATAATGGATTAGATTCGTGGCAGAACAACAAAATTCAAGCCAATTGTTTTGTTAACAAACTGAACTTTACTTGCTTTGCTATAAATACTAATACCCATCATACCTGTCATCTCAGTAGGGTCTTAACATGGTTATAAAGGTAATCCATTTTACAACGACACGGTTTCAGTTAAAAGTTAAAATTGTATTTGCTTAGCAAATAGGCTTTTATTACGGAGAGGCCTTGATGCTAATGTACGGTTTGCACAAGTGGTGAAAGTCTCACAGATACGTCACAGTACAAACATATCTCACCTGTAGGGTCGCTATTTATCAGTGTCCCGTAATTTTTTTTATATATAAAGTACAATAAATAAGCTCGTATACAGTTACAAATGACACCTTGTCCACACATTAAAATAAACACTCAATTAACAGGCGTGTAACGGACCAAATCAACAACCATTAATCAAGACTTGTTCGCTTGACACGCTCATCGAGTGTAACGCATGAAAATTAGGTGACATTGTTTACAATGCATGCAAATTACACGCAAATTAGTTCTAAGCCAACGTTCGTGTCACAGGAATGGGAGAGAACGAAACTGTACAAATTGGGCAGACGTGAAACAAAAACAGGATGGCAAAAACGAGACAGAGAATATTTGCAAAATTTCATCATGACGATTCATCGAATCTCTGAGCATACGAATCATTAAATTATCTCTTACGTGGACAAAAAAAGACTTTACCCCCAAATGTATATATATTTTTTTTTAAACCAAGCCATTACCACTACGATGTAGGTTTTTTTTGCGGTAGCGTTGTAAGGCTTTCCGATGCATTTTCGCGTTGCAACATGTTGTTCGGTGCGATGCCCGACGTTTCTCTCCAAGTGCTTGGAGCATTTTCAGGAACACCAGCACCATCTGGCAACTTTACATAATCGACGAAGAATGCGAACTGCCCCATGCAGTTCCTGAAAGAGCTCCCAACACGTCGAGCGAAACGTTGGACATCGTGCCAAACGACACATTGTAACAACCCAAGCTGTCACTAACAAAATTCGTGGTTCCAGGATTGACCTTATCAACCACCTACGTACTCACAAACCCTGACCATCAAAAACTCGACCTCGAGAGATCCCAGATGGTGATGATGGAACAATCCGAGAACACCGTAGCGAGCTACCAAGCCATCAACGCCCAAAATGTGACCCCGTTGCCTAAACAACGCGAGTGGAGCGTGCCTGATGGTGTTGTCGATGGCTCCCAGTTTTCTTGCCTCTTCACACTCCTGCTGCTCCTTGGCCCAAACGTTAATGTCCTCCAAGTACTGCACACAGCGATAGGGTGACAACCATCGGCAAGTAGTAGTAGTTTTTTACCCTTTCAATTGGTACAAAAACTGACACCTTTATACAAGGCATCATGTTTGCAATAACCGCAACACAAGCAGTCAAAATGCAAACAAAAAGAAACAACTCTGATGATGATAATGATATGCACTGTTCTTGAAGTTGATTGGTCCACACCCGAGACAGCTTTCCTTAGAGCCTAGTCTCCATTGGTGTTGGACCAGATGACGCCAAAAGGCGTACAACTCAAAGACAGCGCATTATCAGAGTATTGAGAGCACGGGGGAAGCATTTACACTATGAGACCTCCTTTACCAGTGGCAAAATATAGTAGTATAAAGGTGTCAGGTTTTGTACCAGTTGAAAGGTTACTATATTTTGCCACTGGTAAAGGAGGTCTCATAACCATCGGCAAGTCACACATTGTGTCTCTGCAAATTAGAAGGGGCTAGTCAGTGCGACGCATCTTTCATGGTATGGACTCCGATTACAAGTGCCCAAAGGTGATGTATGGACGGTGTTTCTCAACTCCAGTACACAAAACTGAGAGATGGCGACAACTTTGACAGGGAGGCCTTCAACAAGCACTGATTTGATCATGGATGATGACGATGACGTGCTGTGTATCACCACAGTTAGTGTAAACAAGTGCGTGTGGGTATAAGTGCTCGAGCGTGAAAATGCATGCATGTGAGCTAGAGCTTGTGTGGTACCATCTTTTCCATTGAGTGGTTGCCTCAACTCTCCACAATGGATGTAGATATAATATTGGCTTAATTAATTATTTCACAGCTCACCGTTTATATTTTTTACGTTAGTCAATTGAAAAACAACAAATGTACAACTTAGGACATACAAATTTCACGCGATATTGTAGCTGGCTTGGAGCAGGCATTATCCATGCAAGTCACTGCCACTCGAGTATAAGGTAGGACTGTCCATAATCATATATTTCTAAACTCTATATTCCTATTACCCCATGGGAACTATTAACAATTTTTTGCACACCCGCACACACACTGCCGCAGTGACGGAAGAATGTGGCGTGCCAAGATAATTGTTCTGGCTGAAATGAAGCACCTTATTTAACGTAAAAATAATTTTTTTTACAAAAGCAAGGATAGTAAATGAACATCATGGGATCCAATTTGTTTCAGAATTTTTTTGTTTAAGCTGCCAAAGTATGACGCACATAAACTGGACGTTTAAATCCGCATGCCGACTCACGAGCGCCCAAGATGAGATGCCATTAAATTGTTCTGCTTATGGTGTAAGTGGGATATTTCCAGAAGCGTGGTTAGTTAATGGGCTTTGAGGAAAAGCTGAAAATTCCTACATTTAAACTTTACACACCTGTTAATTTTACACACAGGCTTTCCCAGCCAATATTATTATTCATAATTGGCTTATTTTGGGTTGGAGTTAGACCGTGTCGATATAATGAACTATAACCCTCTACCATCTGACAAAGCCAATCAAATGGAGCCGTCATGTGGGAAAATATGCCAGCTGATTTGGTTTGTCCTTCCCCTCCCCCACACCTCCAATTATCACAGTTGGCTACGTACGGTGCGAAAGACGTTCGACATACATGCAAATAGACGAGCCATTCTGCGTCCACTACTGGGTGAAAATGAATAACCTCACTTAATCAGAGGCACAAGATGACGGCATGCGGCCCGCACACATGGTTGGGTAACATCATCGGAACGAAGGACCCTACACGTATTTAATGTTGGATAATCGACGAACTTTGGCCAACGTTTTGATAAATTTGCTCCAAATCAAGATACATACGTAGTGACGATCGCCTTTGCACAATAACTTGTCAGACAGAACAGTAGGACCCGCTCACCTTGTTGTGCTCTCCTCCCTTAATTCCGGACGGAACCTCGCTCTGCAATTTAAACAAAACGAAATCACGTTAAGTGCCAGAAACACTACATGCAAACACGTAGCCACCCCTTGACACAGATGTAGAAAAGAAAAAAAACCTCGTTATATTTTAGCAACATTTTCATGTCGCATAGAGCAAAGTTGTGCATTTAAGAGATTGTTTTCCAAATCGGATATAGAAAAAAAACTATTGACAGCATTTTGTCAATCCACTGCTGGATGAAAGCCTCCCCGTGCTGAGGTTTGTGTTTGACAATACTTTGCCACAATGGTCAATGAGTATTCATGAAAGGGTAACCCAAAACTGGTTCCGATTATTTACTTGCTATCGATGTGAGCCATGGTCGGGAAGCGGAACTCAGATCACCGGGTTCCGATTTAATTGAGTGACTGTGCGTCAAGCCATCTGGCTTGGAAAACAGCCTGGAACAATTCCCACTGTGTGATCAACTCATGCGGCAAGGCTACATTCAATGCACTCTCATACCTCTCCCCTCTCATTACACCATACTCTCCCCCACATACTTTCTTACCTTTTTCCCTTCTCATCTTACTCTACGCCGCAGTCAACCTTTACCCAGTGGAACGTCGCTCATTCTACTGCTGGAACTCTATTCCCCCATCCACCCATGCTGTTGACTCCCTACTTCCATTCAAATCCACGTTAAAACCTTCTTTTCCCCAAACTGCCTTTGACCAACTACTGTGCTCTCTAAAATAAAAACATGACCACTGTTTCCGTGCAGCCTCTTGAGATGCGCTCGCATTTACCGGACGCTCTTTGAATGCAAATTGTGTTGCGTTGTAATAAAAAAGAAAATAAATGTACCGGCTTGCACGACTTCACGTGGCAATCCTGTATGGAACAGTGGCTGTCATCGTGCCAGAATGGGCATGGCCTCTTGAGGTTGACCTGGACAAACAGGAGGACAAACATTTTCACCATCAGCTCCATGTTGAGTGCGGCAGAGTGCGATGATTTCCGCCCCCACGGCTTTACAAATTGGCAGTTCGCGCAGTGCAAGCGTTCGTAAGGGCCCACAACAGAAGTATTTCTCTTTGAGAAATCCCATCGGAAACATCTTAGCAGCAGCATTGCTTCAATACATGTAAACTCTGGACCGGTTTCGATATTCAGCGTTCCATCAGCAGATATGGGCTCACTTAAACTAAGGCTTACGAGCTGCCAGATGTTTCCAGGCAATGACCCTTTTCTGTGAGAAATGGGTCTCGTTTGACGGGTAACTATATATTAAATACCAAAGAGATGTATCATTAAGCGTCATTGTGGATGTGTAAACAATACGTATTTCTTTACGTGTGGGGAGGAGCACGGGAAGGAAGGGATTATTTACTTTGCTAATTAACACTCTTCCACAACAACGCTGAATGACTTTGCGTTAACAAGCACCGGCATTGTTTACTCTGAAGCCAGCGTTGAAAAGCCTTCCACACGATGAGATGGGGGAATACGTGGGCACTCTCGCATGTGCTAAGTCAACTTCTTCATGTCCTTGGAAATACTGGAGGGGGGGGAAGCGAGGTGTCCCGGCAGATCAGTCTTCTTAACAAAAACCCTTATTATTTCCACGAAGACCAAATGTAGCCAAATTTACAGCTTGGTAATGTTCATTTATACACATTTTTGTTATCATACCAAACAAATGTAGGCGATATATTTACGTTATGAAGCTACAAGTCAATTCTGGAACGTAGAAGCCGAAGCTACACTAGTTACTATACACCCCAGTAGCACTGTGACAACAATTCGACATCACTTTTGCACGCAGAATGCAAACTTGATAAGTTTCTAGATTTTTCCATTCATTTGCGGTCCTCGAAAAAACACGTGCGTTACATGTGGGACACGGTACATCTGTTGACGTGATTTCAAGGGCACTGCCGTACATAGCCCAACGCACGAAAAGAGATATGCGCAAACCTTTATGTAATGGAGAACCAGCATATATATTCAAAGTGAAAGAAAACACAAGGGGGCAATGTGTAATATTGCTGTGCGGAGATGATAAAAAAAATGACCCTGTAGTAGCGGAAGTAGTCCTTCTCCAGTAAGTTCCACAGTTTGGGGAAGAGCTTGTAGTTGTTGAATTCGTCGATGCTTTCAATGTCGCAGGAGCAGTCGTCAAGCACTCCGCTCAGCTGGTGGTAAAAAAAACGGATAATTGAACTTATAATCAGGATCACAATCATCAGCCACGTATGTATGTGTCATAATCATCAGTAATGGTGAATCCACTGTTGGATGACGGCTTCCCAGAGTGGCCACCATCTCCCGTCACCCCGCAATGGAACGATCCACCTGCGCACGAGTTGATTTCATCGCTCCATCTCCCTTGGAAGACATCTGCCTGACACGGACAATTCACGTAAACATAAAAACTAGTTATTTAGAGAAATGCTACAAATAAAAAAAACACAAATCACAAAATTGGTCAGTTGCATAATGTTCCACATGCAGGAACCATTGAAAGGTTCCTCATTGGTAGTGACTAGTATGCCACAGGAGATCACTGCCACAATAGAAAATGAGAACACACACACCAGGGGCAGAGGGTAAGGATGAAGATAAGGACTCGTGGACAACCTCTCTGAAGTGATAATTGTTTTTTTAGCCTTCTATCTGGCAACAAAACTGACACCTTTTTTACAAGGAGTCATGTTTGCATAGACCACAATACCTACAGCCATAATGCAAACAAAAAACATAACTCTGATAATATATGCACTGTCCTTGAAGTTGATTGGTCCACACCCGAGACAGCTTTCCTTAGAGCCTAGTCTCACATGGGTTGGACCAAAAAAAGTACGCCTTTTGGCGTCATCTGGTCCAACACCAATGGAGACTAGGCTCTAAGGAAAGCTGTCTCGGGTGTGGACCATTCAACTTCAAGGACAGTGCATATATTATCAGAGTTATGTTTTTTGTTTGCATTATGGCTGCAGGTATTGTGGTCTATGTAAACATGACTCCTTGAAAAAAAGGTGTCAGTTTTGTTGCCAGATAGAAGGCTAAAAAACCAATTATCATATTTTTTTACTGGCAAATGAGGTTCCAAAACCTCTCTGAAGCTTTCCCTTCCCCAAGTAGTTTTTCTTGCCTATCGACCATCAACCTCCATTTAGTAATAAGAATGACAAGTTACGTAAATGAAGTTAAAAACAAAGGACCATCGCCCGAATCATAAACCTATTCATCTTCTTGGTTCTTTCGGTAATGTCACGCAGAAGGGAAATAATAAAATAATAAAAAGAAAACATAATAAAATCATTCTCACGACGTTTCGGCCACAACGCAAGCAACCGTCCTCAGGTGAAGAACAGGTCTGTCGGGAAGACAGCGTCTTTATTATTTTATTATTTCCCTTCTACGTGACCTTACCGAAAGAACCAAGAAGATGAATCCCTGCAGTCACGAAAGCTTAAAATCGAAACATAAACCTATTATAAATATATTCCTATCATCAGCAACGGTCACTCCACTGCTGGATGAGCGCCTCCCAAAGCCGCCCCCATGTGTCACGTTGAAAGGATTCCACGCTGGGCTAGATGTCTTAGAAGATGCGGGAGTGCCCACCTTTGACCCCACCACGACCGAAGCTGTGGCATGTCACAGGAGATCACTGGCACAATACAAATTGTGGACACATACACACCGGGGGAAAAGGGTAGGGACGCAGATTAGGATGAGTGGACATCCTCTCTGGCACTTTCCCCTTCTAAGTTGTTTTTCTTGCCTATTGGCCACCAACCCTTTTAGTAAAGTGTCCTCCCCCCCCCAAGCGCGATTATTTTTCTTTACAGTTTTAATGGTGTAATTTGACCTATGGTAGCTCTCAAATCCATGTTCCTCATACAGTCTCTAAATTCACAGCACAAATTTCATTGCTACAAAAAAATGGCACAAAGGAGAAAGATTACATAATATTTCTGTTTCAAATAATAATGTAACGTAATTATGAGTAGTGATCTTTAATTTCAGGTTTCAGCAGCCTTGAATGTATTTGATTTTTTTTTTGATGACCCAGGTTACACTTGTAAATTAGACTATCCTGGTCTCCTTGAGTTCACCAACCTAGTTCAACAAAATCAAGCTTTTAACTAAAATTCATATTTCATTTTTATTCACGTATATATTCACACGCGCAGTCATGCCCAAATGAAGTCGTAACATGAATATTAACGGTGACGTGTTCGTCAGACATGCAATACAACATATGGCGAAGTTCACAAAGACAATCCATACGTATTACAAGGATATAAACACTCAAGGCATATCCAACTCACGTCAATTTCCTTACACATGAAGGTGTAAAAAGACAACGGTACAGTTCGCAAGCAGTGCAATATTTTTCTGGAGGCTGAGACAAAGCCTAATTATTTTGACGTGGCATATAGTCCGTAAATCTCATTCCGATATTTCACCTCGTCGAAGATGGGTTTACTTTGGAAAAGAGGGGAAAGAACTGTGGAGAAATGGTATGTAAGCTTTCTTCTAACCAATGCATCATCATGTTAGTCGATGAGCCCAAACCAGATAATTTACTAGTAGGTACCACCGAGGTGATATCAGCGCAGTGGCTCAAATTTCTTTATGTGACCAATAATAGTGAGTTATATGTGAGAAGCATTCGAAATGAGTAGAATTATCAAGTAATTAACTTTCATTAGCTGTATAATTACATTGATGTTACTTAAGTTTTGCTACCTTGGTTGGTATACATTTCTGCTCTGGCCGATGGCTGATGTGTTGCCTGGACACAGAGGTTAATGATGATAATGATGATTGAGGTAATATTGCCAACACGAGACTGGTGTACATGAATTTAGTGCACAAATACCCACAGTAAACACACCATTATTGCAAGAGTTAAGAAATATCAAGCAAGCTGTTGAAGAATTAGAGTTTTCATAAAACAAGATTTTTGCTTCTTCGTATGCGTGCCGCACAAAATAGAGTAAAACCTTTACTGAATATAAACACAAGTTTACGATCAATAAGCACGTTATTGATCTTACCGAATAAACAGAAGAGTTCATAATTTAAATTATATCTATAAATGTACATGTTACACAACATTTAAAAATATATATTTCATCCTCAACATATGGGAAGGTCAAAAAGTGTGCTTCTGACCAGGAGAAATGAATAAATGAGATGACTGATAAAAACAAATATGTATTTGGCAAAAAAAAAATTGCGTTGATATTCCAGTCAATGGGAAAAATACAAAGTTAATATTTGTTTATTTTGTGCCCAGTATATATTTTTTTATGAAAGCAAATGTTAAACATTAACAACATGGGCACTTGCAATATACACTGCCAAACCACTGGAAAGTTCCACAGTATTTTTCGAACGCTAAGCACTACCACTATTTTACTGAAGAGGCTTTTACTGGTAGGAACCTCCTGGTTACACCAGCCCACAGGGGATTATTGTGTCCGTCCGTCGTGCATCCAAAAATGGGAGGGGTGGGGCTGGGTGGAGAGGGGAAGGTGGGGAGGGGCTGGGTGAAGAGGGGAAGGTGGGGCTGGGTGGGGAGGGTAGGGCTGGGTGGGGAGGGTGGGGCTGGGTGGGGAGGGTGGGGCTGGGTGGGGAGGGGCTGGTCACCCCGTGGTGCCCTTATAAAACTCAATGTTTAACCTACTCACGCCGGCTTGTGCCCGCCCTCACAGTCAGGCATATTTGCGGAATTCACCACGCCGCCGTTGACCCTGGCCATTGACCGAGCAACCCGACGTTCCTACCAGCTCCCTCCGCAGGAATGTGTTTGAAACCTTGTTGCTGTACATCTCGCCGGCGTGTTTCTCAGGTTGTGCCGTGTACTGCTTCGACGCGATGTCCGATATTTCGCTACACGTGCTGGGGAGCTTCCCCCAGTTTCCAAAGTTTCTGAAGAAGCTCTCCCCCCCCTCCAGACTTTGGTCTGATGATCCTTTAAAGCATCCGCTTTGGTCCACGATCCGGATTCAGTTTTGGATCATGGAACCAACATACCACTGCCCAACTTGGTTACAAATTATATTTGAAAGTAGTGGTTCTCAACATTTTTTGAATGACAGCAACCCCCCTAATCAAGACCACTGGGGGTTCTCACATTTGCAGCCTCCCCCACCCCCCCCAAAAAAAACACAACAAAGCTTACTAAGGCCATAATGCACTGAGAGCTCACATGTCCGTCCATGTCCCTAGTCATCAATCCTGGGTAAAAAAAAGGCATTTGTTTTATGTTGTGCATTGGTGTTTGTTGTGTAAACACATTGGGAACTTCTCCTGCACGGTATCCACGCCAGTCTGCACCCTTCCTTAAAGGCTTTTTCAACCTCCCACCCCCACTAGTTGAACACTTTTGCTTTTAAAGTCTACCTCATAGAGAGAGAGAGAGAGAAAAGTTGTTAATTTGACCAAACATCTGAATATGTTCGATGATGCCAATTCACAATTGGTCACCTTCGGTCTGAGAAATTTTCTCAGTCCCCACTTTACAACGAAGTCATCGATTATTTTTGCTAACATCTGCATTTTGGTCGTGAAACTCAGGCAAACATTTGCCAAGCTCAAGGCTGATGTAACAGGCGGGTAGGGTAACTGCATTGGCAGTAGTGCACAAATACCAAAAACCACGCCACAATTATACAGTACTCTATAGCAACATTTCCTCATGACAGAAGCAGTGGAAAGGGTTCGCAGAGGCAGTGGCGCAGTGATTAATCAGCACGGGCATCCAGAGTTCAATTCTGGGCCACGGATAAATGTCAACCGGCCCTGGCCTCCCCGAAGCCCCGCAACCAGCACTGACCAAGCGTGGTGAAGTATGGTCGAACAAATCACACGACCTCCATTTAGTAGTAATGATTTCGAAAGGCTGCGAATTAAGTTAATAACAAAGCACCATTGCCCAAAATCACCAACCTATTATATACTGTGTATGTTTATCCATAATCAGCCATGACCACTCCACTGCTGGATGAGGGCCCCCCAAGGCCCCCCAAAGCCCCCCCCCCCTCATCCTGTCTCGTTGTAAGAATTTCACGCTGGGCCAGACGTCTTCAAATAAGCGGGGGGGAGGTGCCCACTCTTTACCCCACCACCACTGTAGCTGTAGCAAGGAGTGGGGGGATGGTCACCCTTCACCTCA